GCGATCGAATTTTCTGACTGCATCTGGCAAGCACTTTTGACTCCACGTAAGTCGAATGAGAATGGCTTTGTACCACTCTGTGATACCCAGCAGACAGGTGTCACTCCATGAACAATTGTATGTATTAAAAACGTATAATTTAGTGACACAGTTTTCGTAAGAATCGCAAAAAAGTCTCAACGAGTATGCAACAAGTGCGGGGAACCCCACGCTTACATAACATTTGATGTTCGGGCTAAATGGTTGTATTGCTTCAAGCTAGGGGTGAAGGTAGAATCGATTTCTAATGTAAACGCAATAGACCGTCTACGTGGGTCGCAATCACAAGATAGCATACTGCGGTATCCTGTCTTGTGATTGTATTGACAGCCACCACCTTAACCACTCCTGCTAGCAAGTCTGTACCTATACATGTTGAGTGGAAGATGATTGAGCCGTATTTGTTAAACAAAGTAGGAAGCATGTCGAAAGCAAAGAAACAGGGCTGCGATGCGGGACTGTTTCTGCAGTTCCTTACATGTCAGCTTCCACTCTTACGATTACAATGTACGCTTCCTTGCAGTTTGATCTCGATACTTTCTTATCTAATAATTCTGCAAGACTTCTCATAATCATTTGATGATTGATGAGAAGCCTTGCTTTATAGCGAGTATGCCAAGAGGTTTTACGCACGTAAACTTTCTCTTGGACAGCTTAGCCGGAGATGTCAATCGATTCTTTTGACTACGATTGCCTTCCAGCATAGGAAAGATGCATCTGACTGATTGTTCATGCATTGTCTTCTGCCTCATGGGCCACGTTGCTCCGTGCTTCAGTACATGTCATGATAGCATCCTCAATACCAATATGGCCACGACTAGGGGCACACCCCACTTTTGCTAGGGGCACACCCGCTCGCCTAAGATGATGATGAAAAGGACTTCACATATTATAATGCAGAATAATGTACGTATACAGTCGAGTTCAGTTTAACAAAACCCCACTAAACCAAAATGCTGTGATTGAATGGTCTAGGCTCTGGAGGTTAAGGAGATGAATTTTATCTACTTCAATAGAATAAGAACATGTCTCTAACATCTATCTTAGCCGAAAATTGCTTCTACGTCCCCTCATAAGCATACTATACAACAGAGAGCACAAGCTGGACCACCAAGGTGGCGTGCGAAGACCCGAGAGAGAGACAATCGTCTCTAAAAAAATCCCCGACCCCCACCTGCCGCTCTCGTTGGTAACAGCTTTCCTTCCAGGAACGAGATGGAGACGAAGTTACACGGTTTTGCGTCTACCCAAGGGTATGCCATCATCGTCGTAAGATCAAAGAAAACGAGGCTGGGTCTTCAACAGGTCTACTATAAGTGCGATCGCGGCGGGACGTACAAGAACAGTCAGAACCTCAGCGATGGTGAAAGGAAGCGACGGACATCCAGCAGGTTGATGGAATGCCCATTTAATGGGCGCGGCGACGCGAAAGCGGACGGATCTTGGACCTTCTGCATCATTACCGCCAGCCACAACCACAATCCTTCGTTGCATCTGGCCGGTCATTCAACCCATCAAAAGCTCTCGCACGAGCTGGTTGCAATTATCAAGGGACTGCTTAACGTGACGGTCCCTTCACGAAGCATCAAAATCAGTTGAAAGTGACACATAGCGTAAAGTTTCCCATGAAGAAGCATTACAACACCATTCAGCAGCTGACCAAAAAGGAGCTTAACGGCAAGAGTCCGGTCGAAGTGCTGGTCAAAGCTTTCAGGGATGAGGCCAATGGAATTGAGCTGGTTTTGGACGATTGTGGACGTGTAACCCATCGCAATTTTGCACACGCGGCAATGGTGGAGTTAATGAGACTCAATCACGACGTCTTAGTCTTAGAATTCCACCTACAAGACAAATAAATACCGTTTGCCTCTCCTGCACGTCGTTGGTTCCACCGCATTGCACACCACATTCTCCGCGGCCTTCGTTTTCATGAATAACGAGAGCGAAGAATCGTACAGGACTGCTGTTGGGTTCTTGCACAAACTTTTCCACATCGATGCTCTGCCAAAAGTCTTTGCAGTTGAACGAGAACTTGCCCTGATCTCGGCATTGCAGCATTAATTTCCTGAGCCCTCGAATTTGTTGTGTGTGTGGCATAGTGAGAAGAACATCACCAAGAATTGCAAGCGCCGTCTTGGCAGCAACTACGAACAGTTCATGAAAGACTGGGCAGCGGTAAAAAGTTTGTTATTTTGCAACTTTCACCAAGCTTGTAATCCATCATGCTGATATCATTTTTTAGATAGTGCATGCAGAGACAGAAACTGTATTTAATGAGCTCTGGTCCAGTTTCCACACTCGCTACCAAATGTACCAGGAAGCGCTTAAATACCTGGACGACACGTGGATATATCCTCACAAGAAAAGGTTTGTTGCGGCATGGACCAACAACGTTACTCACCTTGCGCATGCTGTTACTTGGTACGTGGTGAAAGCGCTCACAGCCGGCTGAAAACGTATCCGGGCACGAGCATGCTTGATTTGTTGCAATGCTGCAAGATGATCACGGTGTCGATTGAAGGTTTCCTGACAGATTACCGCGCAAAACGCGCGAGCGATCAGATACAGACCCCTCTGTTTGCCTACCCTTCCCCGAAGACGGTATCCTCAGAACGTCACAAAAAGCGTTTCAAATTTTGCTTCGAGCAAAGTCAACGAGAAGGCAAGTCAAATATGTAATGATGCTGGCAAAGTTTAACATCTCTTTATTTACCTTTGATCTGGTTGCAGCTAGAATACGCACGCAGACCGGTCCAATCTGAGGAAAAGATATGCTTTCATGCGTTCACGACAGTCTGGGGTATGCCATACCATCACCGGCTCAGGAATTTGATCAGCGAGGATAAGCGATTAAGCTTGAACGACTTTCATCCCCATTGGCACATTGTGGAACGTATTTCTCTTTGTCCTGATGCTTTTGAAAAACCCGGAGATCATTTGCATGTTGTGATGGAACAATTAGCCAACAATGTGGCTCAGTTACCGGATCACCAACAGAGAGCAACTATTGAGCATCTCCACCATCTGTCCTAGCTTTTGCCCTGTCCGATCAAGGAACCAGAAGCTGTGAGGACAAAGGGCCGCCCAAGCACCTCGACAAAAAGAAATTTGTCTGGATTTTAATACGTGGAACAATCGCAGAAGCGGAGGAAAGCGGAGAAATGTAGCGCATGTGGTGGCGTCGGTCACCGCAAAAACTCGAAGAGCTGTCCAAATTATATCTCGCCTTCCACGTTTGCATCCGCAATTCATAAAAATGCAGTGACGTCGTCAGCGACGAAATTGCTTGAGCTATAATTCGATTTGGATTGATTATCGAGCTACAGATGGCTTCATTATCCAGCACCACAACCACGTCCGTGTGCTCGATCAGAGAGTGCAGGTAACATTGACTTACAAGGCTCCACAACTTCCGACGAGACCAGAATCAAGGAGAAAAATAGTAAAAACCAATTTACCTTTGCCACTATAAATTGAGTGATAGCCGTTCAAGCTAGAGCACATTCAGTCATAATCATGTACCTCCACCCCAAGCATTGTTAGCCATATATCCTTTCTGTGCAACCCATGCAAGTTCGCATCCGGTATAGTACCTGGTCGTCATGCCCTTTCAATCGCACAATGACCTTGTAAGTAACCGTTCTTAGCACCTCCGTACCCGAAATTATGTGCCCGGGGTGGGACGATCAACGGTATGGATTGGTACCTACCTCGTCACAGACGTTAGCTGTAATTCCACAGATACTGCACGCGGTACGTGCTTGTTCGTGCCTTGAAGAAGCTAAGGAGAAGCTCACTCGTGCTGCAACTCACCACTGAACGGATGCGAAAATTCGTAAGCCATGTTGATGTTAATTAAAAAAAGTGGCAGAGCAGAAGAAGGAGGAGAAAATACGCCGGGGTGGTCGTCTGCTAAGTAAGACCGAGGCAGCCATGAGCAAAGCTGTTTCCAAGCAGCGTCCACTGCAGCTGGAAAAAAACGTCCGAGTTCAGTCGCGAGCTGTTTATGGTCACTGTTGTGCTTATTGGCATCGCATTGGCTCTCAATCAAATTGTATTTGTGGAGTAGCGGAGGTGCTGCAGAGGCGCACCTGTCATTCGAAGTCATTCAAAACGCCAACATTCATGTGAGACGTGGTGTATTGTTTGGCATACCTTAAGAGATTAATTCGGCAGCCACATGCCAAGATTATGCATGTTGATAACATCTTCATAACGACTCGTGACTGTGAGCACGTAGAAACTCGAATGTCGTTGCCACTGCCCATGGTTGGATCTTGGCATCGTACCTATGGATTGTATACCGTCTTTGAGACGGTAGAGACTCCAGCAGGCTTAGCCCTTTTATACACCGCCCTGGCCAAGATGGATTGATACGATCTCGCGCATGAGTGCAATCACTGTTTAAGATAGGGATATATCGAGCAGTAGTAAGTGACTACGTGTTTACTTATTCTGCTTCATAAATTGTGAAGTCCTAGGCATCATCATTTTAGGCGGGCGGGTGTGCCCGTAGCAAAAATGGGGTGTGCCCCTAGCAAAAATGGGGTGTGCCCCTAGTCGTGGCCTACCAATATATGCGCAGCTATCCATTTTCGACCGACCAGTTCATGAGCTCGACACTTCAGGCACAGGATGACTTTCAGGCTCTCATTCGAATCGGCCTTCGTTGTGGCTATGTACTCCGCGTTATTCGGGCTGCTACATCTGGCCACGTTCGTAGATCCTGGGCTCAATTTCGATCACACGGTGTGGGGTGAAAATGAAGACGCAAATATGAAAGAGCTAGAATTCGTCAACACCTCCATTACGGATTAATAACGAGCCAGCCGTATCATCATTTCACATGCACACAGTCAGCACTATGCACGCACAGAAGACAGCAAACTTCGCACACGCAAGATTGACACCCGTCCCTCCGTCCTGCAGCTACACGTACTTGCAGGCGCATTCAACATCAATTATCCTTTAGCGCGTCGGGGTCTGGCATTACGCTGTGTGGAGGTAACTTCAGCTGCGGCTCGCTTGTTTCGGAGAGTAACTTGTAGTCCAGGTACCACCATGTCGTCGTCATCGCATCTTTTCTCAAGCTTACCGGCGTCTGACTTCTTCTCTTCCTTTTCTTCATTTTCGTCCTCACCTGAACAGCATGAACAAAGCGGCTTAGCATGATCACATCTACCGTTCCCATTTCGCCCAACTAACGATCACAAACCTTGTGACGGCTCTTGCTCCGGCGCTTTCGTCGGACATCCACCAGAGCCGCGCTTGCTAGTATTCAGCTTTGAGTGGGTAACAGGTGTCTTCTCTGGAGCCACCACAGCCGAGTGGCCGTACAATTCCTTGTAGCGGTTGCTGAAGTCCCTGTAGAGATGGAACCACTGCTCCGGAGAACACTCCTTTTTCTTTTCCTCCAACGGCTCCGAAACCTTGCTTGAGTACTCAATCGGAAGTGTGCCGGTTCCCGAGAACAACAGCGGTGACGTGCCTGCCTTGGCGCGTTGCGTGCCTTCCACGAACTTGAGAAAATTCTTGCTGACGTTCTTCGATGCGCGCTCCTCAAACGCGTCTCGGAACGACGTCACATCCTTCTTTTTCATCCAGCAACGCGAGCGCTTTTGTGCATCGAACGAGTCGTAAAACTCGACAAAAAGTTTCGTTTCTTCCTCGAGCCCGCGCGCTGCACTGGCTGTTGCAGGGGCCCGTAAAATCACCTGAAGCGAGGCACGCAACAACATGCAGTTCGTCACGTTATGGCTCCCACACAACAACGAACGCAGCACGACACCGTACAAAAGCGGGCCACCACGGCCACTTGGCAAGTTTGGCCCAGCACTTCTTGACGATCGTGTACGTGTGCAGCGGCGCCAGGCGATGTTTGTTCACGCCGAACCACTGATTGTAGTCCTCGTCCCAGCCGTCGTACTTGATCTCTACTGTGTCCTGAGTCTTCTCTTTGCCCACGTCAACGATTACGCCCGTGTTCCAAATTCCTTCGTCGTCCAGCACGTCTACGACAAGGAAAACACACAGAGAGAGAGAGAGAGGGGGGGGGGCCGAACGAGCGAAGGAAATAGGTCAGTGCAGACGAGACGGATCGAGCGGAAAGAGGCGCACGTACCGACGCGCAGCCCAATGTCGAGCGGCATTGTCTTCCCCATAGACGCCACGCGCGGTCGCTTGAACTGGTTTTCTCCCTCTTGAATTTGTTTCGTTGATGATCGTTTCGAGTGTGTGGCCATACTGAAGTCAAGTCACTGTTTGGCCACGGGGTTGGGCACTGTGAATATGGTCCAGTAGTTTTACGTACCTCACTCACTCACTCACTCACATCACAGCACAGCTGACGATATCAATCCCATTGCCAACCCGTTCCGTAACACTACGACGTGTAAATTCCCTCGACCGAGCGCCGGCTGATACGTCGAGCTCATCCAGGAACCGTCTCGCGTCTATTCCTGGAACTGAGGTCCCAGCTGATGTGGGATGACAATGCTGTATCGACATGTTCCAGCCGAGAACAGTGAAGGAACGCGAGATCTTTCCGGTCGCGACCTCGCGCCTTCCACCACCAGTGCTTGGGAACGTGAAATGCTTCTTATTGATGGTATCGCTTTACTGGTGACAAAGGGACCAGGACCGACACGTAGCTATCAACACCTACAGCCCTTCGTACGTCCCGAAGTGACGTCCAGTCAATACGATGTCAAAGATTCATGGGATTGCTAGGACCTATGACTCAGTCAGCAATATTTTGACGAAGAGGACGATGTATTACCTTTTCTGAGCTTATAGCACGTGTATGCCGAGCACAAGGATCCAGCTATTCGCTCGTGTGACCCAAAGCCACGGCCGCCGACATCGGCGCTACTTCTTAACCTTCCACTCGCGTTCACCATACAACGCGTTTTGGCAGCACCACGACGGGAAACCATTGTCTGAAAACAGGTCGACCAACGCAAACGAACAGAGTGCTGACGCTATTTTAGCGGAGTGCTCACCTTACGCACCCCACCTACGGCCGCCGAGGATAAGATGGACGACGTTGTTACAATGCGACTCGTATCGAACACAAGCAACACAAGCTACACCGAACAAATGAGTTTAGATATGACTTACTAATACCGAACGATTCGTTGAGCTTATGCGATTCGTTGAGCGTATACTCTTGGGTACTAGAGTGACTCAAAGTAGCTGGTTCGCAACCCGCTCGTTCGTCATGCACACACTCAACGTGCTTGCTCAATTATGCGGACCAGTTACCTTTTTGACTATATTCGAAAAACAATGCAATCGGTGTAGCGAGAAGTGCCGATACATTCACAAAAGGTAAATCTCACGCATTGTGTAGTTATGGTCTGAACGTTGAAGCGCGCTGTGGACTCAGCTATGAAGATACGACGGAATGGTACACTTGCTTGATGATAGATAACGAGTCGATCTTCGTAAATCAAGACTGAGTCATTGGAAGCGATAACATGCGCTGCGTCATGATCGGCAACGGACCTTGGATCACGATCTGCACAATAAGAAGCTTATATGCGATACGGCAACGGACGCTGGATCACGATCTGTATAATCCAAAGCTTTATGGAGTCATAAACGTCAATGCAGCACTTTCTGAACGGAAGTGAGACTGGTGAAGCTTTATACGAACAAAGGGAACCTGTTTGTGTACTGCACAATTCTCAACATTGTATTGTATTATATGCTGGATTCACTCCCGCCTTTGGATAGCGCCGCCACTTCTGCCTGTTCTTCCAGAGTATCTGAAGCTTGATTGGAATGGAAGGGCAAGGGATTGGCCTGTTACGTGGTCGATGTGTGGTGTGCTCTTCGAGGTAGGATAAGTCTGTGGCTACCCCCCCCCCCCTTTGCTTCTGCAAATTTCACCACCGAGGGCTACATCATTCTTCCTTTAGATTTAGTCAATGGGGAAGTGTAAAAGGGATGTAACGAATGCACGAAATAATTACGTGCTAAGAAGGTACCACGCAACGGGAAAGAGTGATCATCAGACACCAAAGATAGAAAAGCAAGCAATATGTATGGTATACGCTCGAACGTGCTTGCCCAGGATCACATAGAATAGTATCGATATGCCATCGATATTCACACAAATGTCGTAGCAAATTATAGATATAAGCCAGTCCCGGTGGTTTGATGGTGTCGCGACAGCGCCGCATGGAAGCCTTTCGCCAATTTTTACTTGTAACATGACTGGATTGGCTCTTCCCTTGTTGTGCGATCGCTAGCACAAAGGGATGACACGCCATAGACAACGGTTGTTAAGGGTGCAGATATCTGCTTGTATCTATCTACATGTATCATACCAGAAATAAACCTGCAAGACCTAGTGAGCGGCATTCAAACAAGACAAAACCAAATGCAAAGAGAACGTTGTGGTACCTACGCCTGTGTACTATCACCCCATTTCGAGTGCAACACTGCATTCATTAACTTCTGTTCCATACGACAATAGTGGATCCACGTTACCATTAACACCACGATGAGCAGCGCCTCTTTTGAATCGACCGTAACGCATCACTAGTATCAGCCAACTGTACCACCGTTTGTGTTTCACTTTACGTGCCAGAAGCAATGTCGATGGCATGAAATCAATCACCTGGATGAGTTCTTTCGTAGCCAGTTGTTGTGGCCGCATACATTCTTCGCCCGTTTTGGTCGCACTGTAGACGCGCGTTGTAGATACTCTTCTTTCTGTAGCTCGTGTCTTTTAGCTCAGTGAATCAAGCGTAAGCTCGGTAGCACCAACACGCAGACAGAACACCAAGTACATCAGCTCTGTGGCCCGAAAGGATAGTACGGAAGCAGTAACAACAATCAGTCTGCTTCGACCTGTTTAGTATACATGTAGGTATTCGTATCCACATAACCATTTAGCGAATGTCATTCGAAGGCGTGCGTCGGTCTTCAGCTTGCCATCATTGATCAGACGAGATTGGTCAAGCCGAATGACTTCTTTGCTTAGTATGGCTACTTGAGTTAAACGTCTCTCAATGACCATTCAAGTGCGACTGCAGGCCAAGCCCTTTTATCAAACTGAATGAGTTCATCGAAAGCTCACATCAATGTCGTCTATGTGTCTGGTCTATGGCCCAGGGGCTCATGCAATGGCGGCTTCCCGCAGTCTTCTAGACCATTCTCATGCATAACACCCTACGCAGTAGTTATTCAGAGTGCGCAAATGCCGACAAGACGAATCATGGAAGATCGAGTGTTGATTGCTTCCATCATCAATCATGGTCGATTCCGCAAACGAGCATCGGCGTTTACCGCTAAGAAAACCTACTGTCAAGTCGCTTGAACCATGACTTCATCGAAAATGAATTGCTGGAGCTGAAAACTGGTGTAGGCGCAGCTAATGCCGGATCGTAATACGAACAGCGAGGTCCGGACAGTGCCGACGAGCTAGCGCCGCAATAGGACTTTTGACGAGCTGGATTTTCCTTAAATCTTCTTGGTATGCTGATGACAGTCTTGTTTGAGCATTTTGCTTTCTTGGTGCCATCTACATCAATGAAACAACGCAGCACATCGCGAGTAAGTTCGGCGTACACAGTATGTGTTCACGACATGCATTGCTGGCAAAGCAACGGCATTAAATCAATTCTTGACCTTTGTGATCTGCGTGCATCACGCAGAACCGGCCACGTAGCTCTTGGTTACGGTCGCTGTGCGGGGATCCATCAAACAGCGGCAAACGGTTTTTATCAACGGTATCTACTTCGTCACCTTTTCATGCACAAGCCATGATAAAGACACCGTTGTCCGTTTACAAGAGTCAACTTATCATTGCCGCAAAAGCACCCAAGACTTTACCTTCGTAGAGTACGTGCATTTTCGACAACATCGAAGACACAAACACTTCATCGTCTCTTCGTGATGGAATCTCATTCGGCTGTCGTGCATGAGACGACTCTTTGTGATTGTCGTTCGAAGGGATTGTCTGCGAAGCGCCATGCACTGCTAACAAGTGTGCAACACAGCATTAGAAGCTATAGGTCTAGGAAAGGGAACATACGTACGTCTGCAACCATTCAGCTCAGTCCATTGACCATGTCTCGGGACATCCGCAGAAGCTACGTATTGTCCTTCTGCTCGGACATCGTCCTGCTTCTTCTTATTTGCGGGGGTTTGACGCTTCTTCATCTTGACTTGCTTCGAAGCTTTCACAGAGCTGCGGCCGGTCAACGTAGTTGGGTCATTCAGTCGTGCCCGCTTGGCAAGGTGCTCAGCAGCAGAACGCTCTGAGTCCGTTCTCGATTGAACGAACGTGGGCGATCGATTAACGTCGCGTTCCTCGCTATGATACGAAACAACACCTTCATGGGTAGATGATAAATTGAGCAGCGCCGAGACGACGCTTTCCTTATTAGGTCGAATGCTCCGTTTTGCAGCCATTTTAGTCTGTCCTGTGCACTCATGTTACAACGCCAAATTATCGTCAAGTTTTTGGTCGCCACATCGATCTATATATCCACATAGAGGTGCACCTTTGACGTAGCCTGCTTTGCGTTCCTCAACGGCAATATCTGCAACTGAGTTCGAGGGTTTACTCGCGTGAATTGGTGCGAAAGGCTTGGCTTTTTGTCGTTTTGCTTTTGTTGGCCCAGGCGAGCCATCCGATTGCCGTTTTTGTTGCAAAGTCCCGCTCGCTTGCCAATCGATCACATGTTTATCTCCGACCTCAGAGCCATCACTGATATCGACCACTTCCAGCTCGTGCAGTAACTTTGTGCCAGCCAAGCTCTTTTTTTCGCTCATCATCGCTTGGCATTTCCCTTCCTTCGCTGCTGACAGATCCAAGCGCCTGACATTCAGTGCCGGTGACACATGACTTCCTTTGTCGTTTACTTTCTCTCTACTCGTGTCGTAGACGTAAGTCTTCGCGTGATGCTTTCTGCTATAAGTGAAATGCTGAAACCACAGCTCATCACCCATACTTTTTCGTAATGCCTCAACGCACTGCGCCGGGCTGGACTTATATTTCACAGGCAGCGTGCCAATAGCAAACTCGGGCATCTCCGAAGACGCATCGGATTGCAACACGCGTGCCAGGGCTTTTTCAAAATTCGCGCCCGTCGATTTCGCGCGCTTCCTGTCAAAGTTATCGCCAAAAGCCCGTATTTGTGATACCTTTTGCCAACACCTGCCACGGTACCAATTGTTTTCGTTGCACGCTTGTCACTCGCAGGTCCACAAGGCGTCTTATCGAAGATTGACGTATACATACCTGTCGCGTTTACCAAACGCAGTATTGTCCAAAAAGTCGACATAGATCCGATCTTCCACTTCAAGGTTCCTGATGCCTGCTACTGTTCCAGGAGTTCGCACTGTGATCTGCCCACAACGACAAAGCCACATGAACCAATCCAACGGATCTCGAGTAGTGGCATCCAAGCCAAGCGAGGAACGAAACTACGCACGAGAGAGGGCCACAGTGGCCAATTGAGATACTTGACCCAGCACTTGACGCTCCACGTGAACGTATGGTACGGCGCCACGCGGTCACTGTCGATCAACACGACCTCGTCATAGTCTTTTGGCCAGCCGTCGTACGTGATCTTCACCTGCAGCAGCAGCGTCAGTCCCAACCACGTTGCCGCCACGTCGCAACCAGAAGGGGCACTAGCGCTGCAAAAGACACCTCTTTCGACGACCGGACGTCGATCACGCGCGCGACGTTCCACACGCCGTCACCGTCCAGCACGTCTGCATGCAAAGCACCAGACAGTCAGAGCAGCAGCAGCAGCAACAACAACAACAACAACAACAACAAACAGTGACAGGCGCACAGGTCAGTGCAGTCCGCAGCAACGCGCAGGCGGTGGAGAAGGAACAACCGGTACGTACCGATCCAGTCGCCGAGCTGCAAGAGGACTTTGGGCGGTGCGAAGCGGCCGGCGGCAGTGGCGTCGCGTTTTGTCATCCTCCGCCGAACTGGGTGTTTATGCGACACGTCCTGTGCACACGCACTGACGTGTGTGGGGTCGTTGTTGGTCACGATGCGTGACGCAGGTGGGCGAGGATAGGGACGGGACGGACTCGGATCGATCCCGTGGCCACTGATCGATGACAGTGGTCCCATGGGGTTAGAAATTCGAAAGCGCTACTTCTGCTGGTGCTGTGAGGAGCCCACGGGTAGAAACGAGTCGCTTCGTTTCTATCCGAACGCGTCTTTGTGACGCCAATCACTCTCTATCGCCCGTCCAAAACGTCACGACGCGACACTAAACAAAGCAAAAAACTTGGATTGACGTATACATTAAACGTATCAAAAGAGGCGCCAACAACGACTCGTGCGGTCGCCGCGACGTGCCGTCCTCCATCGCATGTGTGTGTGTGTGTGGCCACTGCCCATCACACGTCGCGTGTTTTAGTCACTGCAGCACGCAGAAACTGCCCCGGATAAAGTCGACAATGTCCGTGGGGGCGCAGCGCTGGCAGCGGTACCACCCGTTGGTCTCGGGCCGCACTTTGGTCGGATCGCGATGGAACAGTTGGCCGCACTCGCGGCACGTGCCGTACTCGCGTGGGTCAGTGCCTGTTGCGGGTGCGAACGCCGTTGCGATGGGCACCGCGCGCGGAGGTAAGTGCGCTGCCGGGTAGACCGACCCCGCGACCACAGTCGGGAACAGCACTTGCACGCGGCACAGGGGACAGCACAGCGCCTTCTGCAAGCACTTGTCGATGCAACGTGCGTGGAACAAGTGGCCGCACGACGTTTGCTTGACAACGTCCTTGGCAAACAGAGTCTTGCGGCAATGGCCGCACTCGGCGTCTGCTCGTGTGGCCGCCGCAGCGCTTCCTGGCGCCGGTGGCGGAGCGTACACTTGGGGCGGAATGTCGGCCACTGTCTGCGGCAACAAGTGGTTCGTCGTGGCCGCAGTGGGTATCATTTTCGTGCTCTCTGTTTACTGTTTTCGAGACTGACGGACAGGACGGACGGACGGACAGCGTCCAAAGTGGTTTCGAGCCCGAAAAAGCGCAACGCGAGAACGGCCAGAGGCGCTGCGACCGACGCACTGGATTCTCAGCTGCGACAAGAGAAGACGCACAAGCACAGCGGCTGCGAGAGGTGGTGTCGACCACACCAACTCCAACCGACTCGCGCCACCGAACGCAGCAGCGGCCACGCGCGCGACACCAATTGGCACCTCGAGAGCTCCCACGCGCTGCGCCCGACGCGTAATATCGTATCGAGTCGCCTCCTGCCGCCGCCGCCGCCGCCGCCGCCGTCTTCCGTCCCCCAGGCCCACTCGCCGCTCTCGCTCGTCGACTGACGCAAGTCGTCGTCATTGGCCGCGTCACGTCACTCTGCTTCGTGCGTCTCCTCGCACTCGTTTCAGTCGGTCGAATCGATAGCGCCTGAGCGCAACATGTTCCACTTCATTGCCGAGAAGCTCAACGTGAAGAACTTGGGTGAGCTCCTGGCGCCGACGCTCACGCCCGAGCAGGAGCTCCACGCTGCGATTGAAGAGGGACTGGTCGACAAAGTGCTGGCGCTGCTGGACGAGGCGAACGTCGATCCGAACGCCACGAACGAAGCCGGGAACCTGCCGATCCACACGGCCGCGTACCACGGCCGCGTCGACGTCCTGACGGTCCTTCTGGCCCACAACGTCGACGTGAACGCCACGTGCCCGCGTCAGAACTCGCCGCTGCACTACGCCGCTGCGCAGACGCGTGACGAAGCTGTGCGCTTCCTCGTCGACAATGGCGCGAACCCGGCGCTGCGCAACCGCAGCGGCCGCACGCCGTACGATGTGGCCAAAGGAGACAACATCCGTCAGTACCTACTTCCACTGCAGTTCCGGCACGAAGATCCAGCGCAAGCTGCATCGCATTTGCCGCCGGGCGTTACGCCGTCTGTCGATCCAATGGCGCCGCGACCAGTGATCGCGCCTCCGCCCGTCAGCGGAGACTACTCGACGATGCCGCACCCTTCGACGATCGGCGCGGCACCTCCGCAGCAGATGGCGCAGACCAATTTGTACGCTGCGGCTACACATAGTGCGATCCCTCGCGGTGGGCCATCACGGTTTGCTCGTCCGAAGGGCTACCGCCCTATCCAGGCGGACGGCTTTGGCTCCAGCGTCGGCAACGAGGAGCTGACGGCCAAGTTCGGCAACACGCGCGAGGTGAAGGTCACTGCGCCACCTCCAGCCGCTATGGCACCGGTGGGGTCAGCCCCGATTGAAAGCCTTGCAGTCAACAGCGCTGCAGCGATCCCTCCCGTTGCTGGCGTCAACCCATACGCGTCCACGTACGCTGACAAGCCGCAAAAGCCTTCACCTGGCGGGTATCCTGCACCGACGCTGCCGGGTGCTGGCGCGGTCGCTCGTGGTCCGCCTCAGTTCAAGATCTTCAACCCCAAGCTCGCTGACGCTGCGTCGCCTGGTCCTTCAGCTGCGTCGCATGCTCCTCCTGCCTTTGGTGCAAGAGCTCCTTCGAGTGCACCGCTGAACCCGCTGCCGTCGTACACGGCCCAAGCGAACGCGGCTCTCCACGAAGAGCAAGTGCATGTGTCGACCACCGACAGTGCGCTGCAGTAAGAGGCGGCACGAAGGCAGTAGGCGCGTGGCACGTCGATACGAGACGCAGTATACCGGTGTACGCTCCGCCGTCGTGTGTCAATGTAATCGTTGAGAAACAGCTGCCGCCTCGTCACGTGCAAAAGTAACGCTAGCAAGTGGCAGAATTGTTACTTTATCTGAAGCCTTCCCATCAGCCAATGAGCCAATCAGTCAGTCGCGCTGTCCGTGACGACGTCGTCGCGAAGATGAGTGTGAACCCATTGACGGCGCCCCCGACCGTCGTCGTCGGTCGAAGAGCTGTCGCCCCTGGACGAGCGCAAAGCGGCGCTCAAGCACGAGCACGCGGCCTACGTCGAGGCGCACCCGGAGATCAAGACGCTGCTCAGTGGCTTCATGTCGGCGCTGCTGCTGGAGAAACCGCAGGACGTTGCGGCGTTCGCGACCACTCACTTTTCGGCCATGAGGCCGTTCCATCGCGCCCAGGTACACTGCTGTGTCTTGTGGATTCTCTGTCATGCAGTGGTGGTGGTGGTGGCGTGTGTGACTGAGCCTGTTGCCGTGCGACATGCGTGCGTGTTGCAGCTCGAGCCGATCGTGATTGCTGGTCCCTCGGGCGTTGGCAAAGGCACGCTCATTAACTTACTGCTGCGGCAGTTCCCCGACACGTTTGGCTTTTCCGTGAGCCATACGACGCGCGGGCCGCGGGAGGGGGAAGTGGACGGCGTGGCGTACCACTTTATGGAGAAGAGTAGGATGCTCGAGGAGATTGCAGCTGGCCGGTTCCTCGAACACGCCGAGGTGCATGGCAACCTCTATGGAACGAGCAGACGCGCTGTGCAGGAAGTGCAGGACCAGGGCAAGATTTGCATCCTGGACATTGATATTCAGGGCGTGAAACAGGTCAAGCAGGCGGGCCTTCGCGCCAAGTATCTCTTCGTTGCCCCGCCTTCCATGGACGAGCTTGAAGATCGTCTGCGTGGACGCGCCACCGAGACGGAGGACAAGATCCAGCTGCGCTTGAAGAATGCAGCTGGCGAAATTGCGTTCAGCGAGCAGCCGGGTGTGTTTGACGCTGTCCTTGTCAATAAGGTGGTCGACGATAGCTTTCGTGAGCTAAGTACTATACTCAAGCAATGGTACCCCACGGCGGATCTGAATTCGACGAGTTGAAGAAGAGCATCGGATAGCCTGTGCGCATTGCACTGATATTGCTGCCAAGTTGTGCGACGCCGCGCATGTGAATATGGTCCGCTGCTGAAGTGTACGCCATCGTGAGTTGTACCTTCAGCTGGTTCGGCATTCTACTGATAGTGTATTGACGAGTTGAGTTAAAAGACTGATGGATGTCTCCGTTTCCTTAGTATTTTCTTCATAGGCTCTTGGCGTGTTGACCAGTGCGGTAGGTATCCGTTATCCAACTGACGAAAACGACACCTGATACATCTCGGCCTCCTCTGTCTGTTGTCAAGCGTGGGGTAGTCAGAACAATGTTAGGTGAAGCCTGACTTCTCCTGGAAGCATTGAGGTGTCATGAACGGGCAGGATCAAACAGCGTTGCGCTGACCGGAACATCGAAAGTCTGAGATCAGTGTAAAGCTGTTGAGGGAAGTGCGTACAAACGTCCTACTTTGACGTTCGCAACAGTTTCTCGCACGCGAGAAAGCTCGAGGCAATTGGCTTTCGCGGCCGTAAGCTCCGTAGTCAACACTGTTTCGTCGCCCACATTTCACAGTTTGTCCTTGCACCACCGATCCCTTGGCTCCTGTCTCGTTCTCAGTGGCGGCAAACAGTGCAGCAATCATCGGTCAACCAGCGAAAAAGCACTCGCGCTAGAACGCAGCCATGCTTGACGTTTTTGCTGCGAACTGTACCACCATCATTAATCGCTTTGACTGCACTTGGCTGTTTGTCAAGTCCACTGCCTCTCCGACTGCTGAAGAAGACGGAGAGCAACAACAATGGGTCGAAGGGGATTCCGGAGGCGGAGGTTGAGTCCAAGCACGAGCTGGGAGCTGACCTCAATCGTCTGCGTGCCTGGAATCCATGTCGATGATGGCACTTCTCGACCAAGACAAACAGAATGAGAGGGATGGGTCACACAAACGTTGACCGAAGACGCGCGTTTGGAAGGGGTTCAAACGACTGAAGAGGACGAGAAAAGCTGTGGACCGATTTGAAATGCAGCACCTGTCGCAGAAGGGTTTGCCAACACGGAAAAGATCGTCGTTTTACGTGGTGCCTGCTCCTTGCTATGTGTAACTGGAGAATGCTTCCGGGCTGCTTGCAGAATTCTCCATAGACTCGATGTTCGCAACAAACACAACACCTGGTCCACGGTCGACGTGTGGATCAACTACGTAGCTTTCGTTTTCGATACGACATGTTGCTGATGATCGTGTGTACACGTATCTTTCGAAGCTATAAAAGTCGAGCCAGGTTCGTACTAAATCTCGACTTACAAAGCACTTTTGCCGACAGTGGCCGATTTTATAGGATGTAATTTGGCGAGCGAGAAAACGAGGGTCTGTTGACGGCGAATGAGATCCTTTCTATCGGCGGCCGAAACGGAGAAAAGGACACAATTTATCGGAGGGAGTACCGTCGGAGCCCAAAATCGATTCAACGAACGAGGCTTACGAGACGACAAACGACTTACGTGCGGACATCGATCGTGTTGCACAGGGTCAACGATTGTCGCAGCAATGCATGAGCTGTCACTGAGACACTATCGCGGAACCATAACATCCAGCCCATGTCTGCATATCGTACGCTGACTTTCCGAGCGAGAGTTGCTCACGTCCCACGTGCTGTCATCCGTTCACCTGCCGTAGTGAACGAGTCAGTGACCCGTGACTTGCAACTTTGCTGACAATGTTCGGACGCAGAGCCATTGAGCTGACCAAGTGTGGTGGCAATCGCAAACATGGCCCTTTTCGTATCGATGTGAGCTGCGGTCTCGCTTTGGGCACACCTGACCATTGCGGTGCAACCCGTCAGGGCAGTTGCTGTGTACGACAGTCGTCGAGGTCAAACAAGTGGTAAAGCCGTCCGTCGGTATCGTCGCGTCCCGCGCGCTCGATGTCTCGACCGCCTCATATGCACACTGAGCAAAACGCTCGTGTGGGGTTTGCACAGAGCATCGAAGAGCACTTCGCTTCGCGTCAGAAGAACACGCCGTGCGTATCGGCACTAGCGACAACCGGACGGGTACTATTATTCGTCGTGTGCACTTGAAGTAGAGGTCTCTGGCATCTCGTTCGACCATCGACAGCGTGAGGGGGGGGAAGGGCGCCCGCAGCCGGTAAAGAAGAGCCAAAGCGGGAGATGCGCCTGCGTCGTGTCGTCGTGTCGCACGTGCGACAAGTACCGCCGACGGGTCCCGCGTGACGGGTTCAACGGATGAAGGGGCAGCGCGCGACTGAGGAAGTGGAGGTCGGAGACAGCGCTGCGATCTGTGCGTCGGTCATTCTGCTCTATGGCGACGGCCGATGGACAAATCTGATGTTGTCGCTCTGTGCGGAATGTCACGGACCCCATCTCCTGCTGTGCTCTTTTTGCCGGCGTTGACTTATTGACAAACACCGCCCGTGGACTCGACAGTGGCAGTGGCAGTGCAGTGCAGACGGTACCAGTACCAGTACACTTGCAGGCGCATGATCCAGCGCAATTGTGGCGTGGTGCGTGCGTAGTGTCACGAGTGGGTACGCTTGGGCAGTTCTTGCTGACGAAGTGCGCTACAGGTCTTCCATGTGTCACTGCTGTACAATTTGATGCTGGAACACGAGCAGCGCCGTCCGTGGTGGAGCCGCATTGAACCCCACTTGGTGCTCGGTGCACTGCCCCTGCAAGCAAAGGACCATTTGAACTTGGTGCGCAGGTCTAGTGGAGCAGCTCCGTGTGTATGTTGAGGGGGGGGGGCTACGTGTTTGTGCTGAACGTGTTTTTCTTCGATGGTATGGACACAGTTGGTGCAACGCGAGGGCGTGAAAGCCGTTGTGACCATGAACCAGCCCGAAGAGCTCTTACCGAATTTCCTGTCGACCCCAGTTTCGCCGGGTACAAACACGGACACGTGAAAGAGCGAGTGGGCGTCAGAGCTGACTGAACTATGTCTACCCGTCTCTGTGTGTGTGTTTTTTTCTCTGCTGCCGTGAAGCCGAGTGGGCGAACGAGCACGTGGCTCAATGCTTTGGCTCGACTCAAGACTTCGCTTCGCCAGCGCTGGATACTATTGAAAAGTTGGTGCTGCGTGACAAGTTGGCCTTGCAAAAGCGACGAGTGCTAACGCCGAACGCGCTCAGGTGTGTGCTCTTTCTTCATGACCAGGTTGACGTGCAGCAAAACACGACCTACGTGCATTGCAAAGCTGGACGTGGCCGGAGCGCAGTAGTTGTCGTGGCATTTCTCATGCAGCATCGCCAGATGACACTCGACGAGGCCTTTGAGGCGGTAGCGACCAAGCGACCACACGTGTGTCTCAACGCGAGCCAGTACCAGACCTTGCGAGAGTTCAGGGACAAGTACTCGTCACCAGGTTTACCCCGTCCAGCTTTGCCCACTGGCCGCGAATACAGAGGAAGGGATCGCCCGTCTAGGCTGAACCACATTGCAGTTGCTTTATTGCAGGCCAACCGCCGCCAGCAGTTTACACTAACCTGAACGTGTAGATCCCTTCGTCGGTCGTGGGTTCCTCCCACTCAAAGCCCACGCCCTTTGCAGTGGCCAAGACATAGTCAATCGAGACATTGCGCTTCGTGTACGCCAGCAGGAACTCCGATGCGGCTTTGCCCTCAGCCCCACTACAGCGACCAGGCTTGAGCAAGTACTTGGCAGTCTCGAACAGCGGCAGCACGTGCTCTTGCTCGTAGATAACATCAGCGCCCAGGACAACGTCAAACGTATCGCGGATCTGGTCGAGGTCGACGCCCCATAGCAACTTGCGGCACTGCACTCGCTGCTCGACGTTGTTGAGCCGACAGTTGGCCACGAGCTGCTCAATCGTGCGCTCGTCTCCATCGGTGATCACCACCGGCTTCTCCGTGAGGTACGACGCCAGAATGCCACTGAGTCCGAGACCGCTGCCCAGCTCGAGGATCGACTTTCCTGCAAATCGGCGCCGGTGCTCGTACAGGAACGTACTCAGGAAGTCGCCTGCGCGCCAGAGCGTCAGCCCCGTGGACTCGAGTGTCTGGCCAATGTCGCGTCGCAGTCCGCGAAGGCGAAGGACAATCGGCGCATTGTGCTCATCGTTGGCACCGAACGTGAACTCAAACGACTCGTCTTGGGGCTCCGTGTCGAGCGCCTTTTGAATGGCAACGCGCACGTCCGTTGAGCGCTCGGCGACGACAATGCCGCGCTCGCTGACGAACTCCTGAAGAGCGGCGAGCGCTGCGCTGGACAGCGCCAGTGGGTCGCTGTCACTTTCAGTGTCGCTGCCGCTCATTGTGGACCAGTCAATGGTTTCGGAGCTCCTGACGCAGCGCAAAAGGGACGCGCTATGGCGTTGTTCCGCAACGTAAGACTGCGCTCGAGAACGTGGGGGGCAACAGAAGGCCACGGGAGAGCAGCGGATGGAATTGGTAAAACGATCGAGCGGGTGTGTTTTTACGGCTCGTGAGTGAGGTTTTTTACGCTTGTCGCCGCTTTTTAGCGTGACGCTTTTATCCTGTCGGTCGCAAGACGGATCAAACGGAAGAAGAGAGAGAGAGGGGTCAAATAAAGCGCTCGACAAATGGTCGGATTCCGTTTCGAACAAGTCTTGCTCTTATGACGTTTCAAAAGATACCGTTTTAGCGATGGCCTAAATCGACCTGAGGTCGACCGGTACCGGCACGATTTTAGGTGGTCACTGACTGGTGTTTTAAACGTTTGTTTGCCACACTGGTCACTGTTTTCGCTACTAGGCGAATTGCAAAACATCTCGCTTCGCGTAAACAAAGATGTATCATCGACTGATGCGGATAACGAACGTCAGTGCACATGGCATGCTTACGTGTATTTGCAGCCGAGTCAACAAGAGATATGGACGAGGCCCGGATGTGTGAAACCCGGTGCGTGCCGAGTCCTTGACGCATTGTTTCACTTCGGTCATGCTGGGAGTCGATTGCTGGGCTTGGCCACGTTTTGAGTTCCGAAGAGAGGAAGGACGGATTCGCATCAAGGCGATACAACTGGAAAGCGCCTTGTGTCTGACATAACACGTTTCGGTAGATGTTGGCTTGTGAACGCTAAAACAACATACAACAAGGCATGCAAGGAATGCTTGCTTGCTCCGCTCGTCAGCACTGTGCTACATCACAGACCTCGACTGCTCCAAGATGATAACGCACTCAAGATTATCGGTTGGAAGCAAAGGGACGGCGGCCTCATCATCGAAATGCCTTGTTGTATGACCAACTTGTCGTAAGCGGCGGTTTGGGTATTTCAGCATTGTTACGGGAGCGGCTACTACAACGCCGTGCGTGTTGTGTCTCTGTTCCGGGTCATGCTTCGGATCGATTGTCATCGCGTCCTAATTGATGGAACCGAGACAATCGACGTGCGCCTTGTTCATGAAAGTGCACGTTGTACTCTCTATGATATGACACTGAGTTGCCATGTGTCGCTGCTACCGTCTCTCTGACACCGTTGTTGACGCAGCATCAAGTATGGGTTCGCTTGCAGCCAACACGCCGCTTGGTATGCTCCTCGAGTGTCGTCGTGCTATTCCAGTCTCAGCAAAGAATACCAGCATACATGTTGAATAACGGGAATTGGAAAAGTGCTCCCGCTATCCCAGCTGTCTGTTCTTTTGTCGTTTACATCTCTATCGTGTATCACGCCTGTAGTTGTAGTGTCAGCGCTGGCGCCCTCCTCGCTTCGATGAGGAGGTGTACAAATGTGTGCGACAAGCAGAAAGCACACCGCGTTGTTGCATGGTCAGGACACGAGCCCTCAAGATTTGGTACACAATTACGCACTACACCATCGAGAGAGATCCACAAGATCTAGAAGTGGTGACGGATACCAAACAGGACATATTACGATAGTACAGAAAGTCCTGGCGTCTTCTTGACGCGACATCCTCGACACAGTACAAGCTCACACGCGAGACAACAAATGGCTAGTAGCATTGGTTTGTTATAACCCCAAAGCTACGTTGTCGATGTCAGCATGTTTTCATTGACGAAATGGCCGTGTGGCCCTTTGAGGTAGCCTGGTGTGTCACGCAGTCACCACAAGCGATGCATTGATCCAATGTCGCCCCTCACATTTGGTCCACCCCATCTTATCGTAGATGCGTATCTTGGGTGCCTGTTCTTCGTCGGATGGAGTTTGGCATGTTGTGCAGGTTTTTCGAACCGCCGGGTACATTGTTTGGCTTTTGTTGTTGACATCGGTAATCGTCGTGGACGTTCAGCATATCACGGTCACGCTTACGGCGACGACAACACACAGAGCTTAAGTAACAACCTGGCACGAACACCATAATACGTAGTAACCCGTATAAAGAGCCGATACGAAGGCCAAATGATACATCATGCCAACTTCGCTCAATCGTGTTCTTTTATCGAGCCATTTTGTCAGCTACAGACACTGTGAAACAGAGAACGGCTCCATAGCGAGTATGTTACATTCCCAAGCCAATTGCTAGTCGTCATCGAGCAAGAACGAAATGGACATGCGATCTTGCTAGCGATGTGAGGTTTATCTGAACCCCTCTCGTCGATTTCCGGTACAAACGATGCTCCACTTTATTTTCATCCGAAAGCGACATGCCGTTTTGTTCACCAATTCGTCGGGGCTAGCCATCGAGCGACGGCGTCGAGAGGAGAAGTTTATGATTCGTGACTTTGCTATTCGATACCTGCGAGAACAGCTCTGCGGCCATACTGGGGCCTTACCCGTAGGCAAACGAATCGAAAGGTCCACTTTTAGTTGCTTTGTTCCGCGTGACCCTGTCGCCTGCAACCTTCTCGAACTTTGTGGGACGTACCCATGATAGCGCACGACAACTGCCGTAATCTGGCAGCTGAGGGTGCTGACCCATTACAGGTATCTAATGGGCACCTCAGTGTGGGTGTTCTGATCGACACTTCCGTTTCTATCTCGTTACAACCCGAGACAGCAAGTCTCGCTGCAAGTAATCCTGTGATGCTATCGAAGAAGATGTAACATTTGCCCGCCGCGTCGGTGAGTTTGTGCAAGACGGTCTGTCTGGAAAAAAACGAAAAGTCCATGTCTGAAACGACCAAAAGCTGCCGCAAATAGAAACGCTAGTGCGCGCGCTTGCTAAATCGATGGATCGCCTACCCTATCCTCCTTTCTATTCGCGCGCGACTTTTCGCATCGGTGTCTTCTGGCTCACTTCAGGCCAATGTGCGTAGAAAAACCGACGAAGCGGACCCTTTTTCGCCAAAAAGCAGCCGCTTGGCTCCTTTCTTGAGACGCTTCGTCCGGCTCTCAGCGCCAGATGGTTCGATTTCGATACCGATACCGCATAGCGCATGAACTGGCTCAGCACGAAAAAACCGACGGATTCGCCCCGACCGCGCGGGCGGTATACTGTACCGCCTATGATTTGCCCCCACCGGCCCGTCGCGGCCACGGGAGAGTGACGTCACAATCGCTGCCGCCCGAAGAGCTCATGACGCCGCCGCCGCCGCCGCCGCTCTTTCCAGCGCACAGTCGAAAGCCACCGACGGGCCACACACGACCCCACTCGCCCCGCTCGACTGCACTGCCGCCGGGTCCGTAGCTGTCTTCTCCCCTCGCTGCCGCACGTAGAGATGGAGAGCGGCAGCGCGTGCAGCGTCAGCGCCCACCAACAGCTCTGCTCGTTCATGTCGCTCCCGGCAGACGACGAGATGGCCCAACTGATCCTCGAGGTGCGTGTCTGCATCAGTCCGTGTCGGTCGACCTGAAAGCTAAACACTGAAAGCTAAACACTGAACACGACAGCAGCTGACCGTCTCGTCGTGTGCTGCAGGAGCTCTCGTTCTCCAGACGCGCGTTCGTAGGCGTTGCGGCCGCGATCGCAAACTCGCCGTCGAGCGAGTCGGCCTCGAGGCTGAACTCGATCTGCGAAGACGGAGAGGACGACGACGACGACGAGTAGCCGCCGCGTCGCGGCGCGCTCGGGAGGTGGGCAGACATGTGAGACGTTTTCGAGCGAGCATTACGCGGTCAGGCGCGTCTGCATCGCGCCGCTGGCGCACGACGTTCGCGCGTCGTCTTCTGATTTTATCGTGCGCAGTGTGTCAGGTGCCATGGCGTCCATTTCAGGCCATGGCAGCAACAACCACACACTATGGTCATCGGCGTAGAGGACGGCAATTGCAATACGATATTTATTGGAACGTTATTGTCCGTTGATGTGGCCACTGTTGCGGGTCCGCGGCGATCGAAGCGGCAGCGACGAACCTTTTAGTGAGTGGCCTGTTGTTGTACGTGGTCGCTGCTTGACAAGCACCCGGTTGTTTGCGTCATTGCGACAGCGGTATGCTCAATGTGAACGCACTGCACTCTGCGAGCAAGTGACAGGTGCCGCTGAAGTCGACAGCCGGCCGTTTTTCTCTTGGCAGGGCCCGTGTAGCTACTGCACGACTCAGTCTCTGCGTGTGGCGATGGTACTTGTTAGTGAGTGCTATGACCGACACCAATTGCGCCGGTAGATTCGCACAGCGTCTTGTTGTGCAATCAATCGATCGTATGACTACAGCCGTGGGCAGAGCTATCCGCGGACCACACACCTTACACAGCTGCGGTAGAAGGGCTGGCCGCGCCACTACCTCGAAACGCGGCTCAGCCTCTCGCAACGTGCACGTGCTAACACAAGCACCAGACCGCCTCAGCCATCTCGCGCCGCTCAACTAGCAGCCTCGGCACGGAGCATCTTGCTGGAAACATCGTTGCTCTGGATCCAGGCCAAAACGTCTGCGGGCATGGCGGGATTCGCCGCCTCATCGGCCCGCCGCGCAGGAAGCTTGCTGACGATCTGCTCGGGGCTCAGTCCACCGACCACCGTGTTCTTCACGAGCACAATGGCGTTGACGAAAGCGCCGCTGCTCGCGTCCTTCGTCACGAAGCGGTGTTCGACGTAGAAAGCGCGCTCGTCCCAGCACAGGAGTCGCGACTGCATCGTGTAGACGTGGCCAAACGACAGCTCGCGCCGGTATCGCACTGTCTGCGCACCCACGACAAAGTTGACCCCCAAGGCGGTCACGACGCTCCATATGCCATTGCGCTGTCAACAACAAGGCAAAGACGGCACAGCGCGCGTCACGTGAGGCAATCGATAGGCTTCCACTCAGGTCGCAATGTCAGCAGCGGCTGTCGTACGTGCCACAGGTCGCGACGCCCAAAGCCGCACGCGCGCAACACGCGCGCGTTGTTGCAGTGTCCGTTTCGGTCAATGTCCGTGGGGCCGACAAAGCCCGTGACGCTATTAGTGGCGAACAAATGGCAACGGGGTCCACGAGCTCCGAGCGCGAGCAACGCGGTCAGTCCAAGACGCAGGAAGTACCACACGTCGCACAAGGCGAAGCTGCAGAGCGCACCCACGACGACTGCCGTGACACCGCTTCCGTTGCCGACGCTGTAGCTCAGAAGCGACACGGCAGCTGGCAGCAGCACGAGCAGTCCAAACGCCAGCGCGTTCCGAGGGCGCAGCATGTGCGCGCCAACGGTTGCGGGAATGTAGCCATGTGTGCAACCCACCCGTTTTCGCGTGTAGCCATGTGTGCAACCCACCCGTTTTTGCGTGTAGCCATGTGCGACCCATCCGTTTTTGCGTGTAGCCATGTACGGATTAACTACGCCCAGCTGCGGCTGCGTTCGATAAAAAGGTCGAACGGTGGGGGGCGTTACACTTTGTCGTGAGCGATTTTCATTGGCTGAAAGTCGAGGTGGCGGACCCGCACAGACAGCACCACCTGCGCGCCGCATTCTGGACGCGACGATGGCGGCACAGGCGCGCGCGCTCGAGGACGAAGTGCAGCGGCTGGGCGAGCAAGAGCCGACCAAGCACACGGCGCTGGTGAAGCAGCGACTGTTTAGCCGCGTGGGCCAGTTCCTCATGGGCAGTCTGAACATGCAGCACTGGTGGTGCGATCACGCGTCGCTGATGGTGTTTATGATGCGCGTGCTGGAGCTCTATCCGGCGTCCGAGAGCGTCTGTGCGTTCTACAAGCGCATGGAGCAGCAGCTCCGTCAGTGTCGACAATGGTGAAGCGAAAAGACACGCAGCAGTGTGCACGGAAACAGGAGCGACAGGAGGCGGCGGCGGAGACTGACGTTTGTGCACTGTTTTGTGTCCTGTCGCTGTGTTTGTCTTGCTCTGTTTGTTTGCCATTGCTGTGTGGCTGTTCTTGCTGCCTCTTTCGGGCTGTAGCGTCGATACGTACCACGCGGCGTTGCCCAGCGTCCGTGTGGAGCTGGAGTTCGAGTTCACATCTGAATCGATTACGTCTTACTTTGTCAAGCTGCAAGAACTGGACGCTGATCGAGTGCAGCGGCAGCTGGCAGATACGTCCATGGGGCTGACCAGTGCTGTGCCAGGGAAGCTGAAAGTTATGGCACACACGCTGTACGAAGTACTTCATCAACGGCGTCTGCTATCGGACTTCCGTATCGTCCGCGTGCTGTCGAGGGTAAGCAAAAATGGATTTCATTGGCTACTTTGCTTGCCGTGGACTGCGCGCGCGCTGATGTCATTGTCAGTGGGTTTCTTCTCCATTCGCAGACGTAAAAGCAAATTCGTATCTGGAAGGCTTGCGCGGTTGTGCTGGGCTGTATCAGCTGCTGGTGTCGCCGGATTCTGCAGTTCGGTACGCACTTGCTTTTGCGTGTCCTCATTCTACTGCGATCTGTTCCATGCTCCGTGGAAGATATATGATGTGCGGTGGTAAACGAATCGTGTTTGCATTGCAGAGAGTGGGCCAAGAACATGGTGCAGCACTTCGGCAAGATCCAGCTACGTGTCGATTGCGGCGAAGATCAGCATTTACTTGACGTGCTGGATGAGTGGATGTACATACTGGAAAATGAAGAATTCAACAAATCCATGCTGTCACTCGACTATAAATCGACAGAGGAGCTTCAAGACGTGAGTGTCTTGCCTGCGCGACTGCTGATCCGTTCTACTACCTTAGTCGCACGTCACGGTATTGACGCATGTTACTGTTTCATGCATTGCGAAACAACTACAGTTCTTGGAACCAACAAATTGCGTCAAGACTCCGACCAAGTCAATGTTGTGGTCTGCACTTGATGACGTTATACAGGTGATAAATAGCTAGAGGTTGATCGTATGGAAAGCGTGTTTGCATGTTGATGTGGTCTGTGTTGATATGGTGTTTAGCAAATGGACGTCGACAGCTTGGAAGCGATGTTGGTTTCGTTCGATACGATCCCGGATGTAGTCTTCAATTATTTACAGGAAGCAGACCCTGCAGGAGACCAGACACTTACATTAGTGGTACGTTTCCTGCTTCCTCCCGCAGTACGCATCAGTAGCTAAACGTTGTTCCCCTTTCCATCTTGTTCTCTAGGTTTCCAAGTGTTTTGCAGTGCTTTTGCGCTGTCTTGGGCACCGTTTCTGGAATCACAGCGCCAATTCGCCCAAAGTTGTGCTGGATGTGATTATGCAGCATTGTCGTCTCAGCTCGTGGCGCGTGTATGTCACGAAGCAGTTTATCGAGCTTTTACCGCCGCTTCTCGTGACTATCCGACCGCCTCAAGTCATTTGCCAGCCGGTATGCATTGCGTTGGAATCGTGATGTGTGTTGCGAATTCTGAACAGCTAATGTTATTGCTGTAGTCCAACGAAGGAAAACGAGACAAACTTGACTTTTATTTGGGCACACGCAAGAACATGATGCAATTCTTGATCGCCGAGGATTTCCGCCCGAAGCATTATGATGCGGTTGCCATTGTGGCAGCGTCGAGGGCAGCTTTTACAATTTTGCACGACTGCTACGAACATCGTATCCCCGGTTCTGTCGATCACGGTCGAGGAAGTGGACGAGATGAAGGCGCGCTATCAGAATCCATTTCTGTCGACTACTTGGTCTCTGAGAGCGCTTTCTGGTGGCCGTGCAGCGTGGAAGCTGGTGATGTCACAAACAATGCACTGGGGAAGCTATGGATGAATCATTTGTTTGACATCGTCATTATACCTAACAATGTCGAGTCGTTGGTTGACTTGGCGGCGGAGACTACCGCTCTCGTGCTAAGCAAGCATTTGCAGCTGGCTCGTGATGCTGTATATTCGGAGATTTCTGCGAGCGATGTGGGATATTCGGGATCGAGTGCAGCCGTAACGAAGAGAAAGCCGATCATCACTGGTTTGTTGGAAAAGCTGTGCTCGTGGGGGACGATCACAACGATACCGCTCCAGGTCCACGGAGCACTTTTCGAGTCGATCGGAGGAATCTCCGAGCTGCTGAATAGTGTCGTTGCTCAAGCTAACATCAGTGACCAGCTCAGACATCTTACGACGACTTTGCAGAAATACGAGAAGCACGTCCAACAGTATCTCCAGCGCATGTGTAGTGAGGTGCTTTGCAAAGGCTTGACGAACCCATTCGGGTTTCCCGTTGTGGCGCAACACATCAGCGCATGTTATTTAAGTCCGACAAACAGCGTCGATCAGATGGTGAACAGGTAGTGTGTTGTTGCTCGTTTTCACTTTTTGGATGGCGGATGATGGCTTATGTATTCACGTGTGTAGGTTGATTTGCCAATATGCCGTTGACAAAATGCGTCTAGCGCAAGCTCCCTCCCCTTTAGAAGCTGTTATCTTTTCTGTTCGTCGAAATGCTGAAGCCTTCTTACGCGGTCAGCTTTCCATGCTCCGATCGATGCGACTCTATGGTTTTTCGCAAGCAGTCTGTTTGCCCGCTGCAAAGAAGCTTATGTTTGTGTGGTCCCGCATATATGATTTGCTGAGCGTTGACCTGGAGAACGTGTTCAATAAAGTGGCGGACGCGAAAGCTAAGACAACGTCCTCGCACCATGTCACGGACACTGGTATCGCAGCAGCACACCTGCTGAAACTTCCGAATTTGATTAACGATTTTTTGATCGCTTTGCTAGCGAGTTTGTTCGGCCCTAAAGCTAAACATGCGATAGAGATCACCGAAACTACTCGCGTGCAATGCCTTGACTTTGGACTTAAATTCTGGAAGTTCTGGACATCAGTGTCGAAAGACTCAGTTGTGTCTAGCAAACGTGTGGTGGGGCTGATAACTCCATTGGTTGAGTGTATAGCTAGGGGGTCAGCTTCCGAGAATAAGCGAGCCGCTGAGTTGTTGATGACGGTGTTGGGTTGCCTTTTGGAAGGAAATACTCGTTTGGACGAAGTTACACTGAATATGATCGACAGCATAAAGGGAGAGGCAGCGTCGGTTGAATCCAGACAGTCCACGGACTTTGGTCGTATGACGAAAAAGTTCCGGCAACTGAGCCAAAACTCACAGTTTTTCACGAAGCGTTCGACAGGATCTGGTGGTGCAAAAAAACTAACGGACATGACCTCTCGATCGAAGTCTGCGATACCACCGAGGACCAAATCTTCTGCAGGAACGCTCAACTATGCACTCACGTCAATGAGTGTGAAGTCGGCTGGAAAAGCTCAGGATCGCAAGTTAATTGACCTCTCTGGGGCTGATGAAGTATCGAACCAAGCGGCAGCTCGGAAACAGCATAGTTTCTACTCTGAAGAAGAGTACCACACAGCTTCAAAAAAGGCATCATCTCTTGTAGTAGTTGCACCAAGTTCAAAGTCTCCGTTTGACATGGCCCAAGTCATAAAAGGCGTCTCGCACTCGCACCCAAGCTCCTCTACCAAGACAATTCCATCCGAACGACCAACAAAACAGGTCGACAGAGATGTCATTGAACACATGGACGAGGAGAAAAAAGAAGAGGATGTTGGTCTACGTTTTGCTGCACTATTTCATCGAATCAAAGCTACGCGAAAGCCAATAGCAACCTGCTCGCTGCTACCATTTTACCGGCAGTTGCTTCAAGTTTGCATGCCTGTTCTTCTATCGGGTGAGTTCCAAGATGGACGATCTGATAAAGAGCTACAAGCACCTGGGTTAAGTTTCACGAAAAACGCCGACTATGTTCGAGCTTTTCTACCACTGATGCTGGAAGAATGCAACAACGAAGTGCAAGAAGGCCTCCGGAAATATTGCCGTGGGAATCGGGGTCATCTGCTGCGCTATGAATCCGAAAAGCCACGAGAAGGTATGCGCTGCATCAGCTTCAGCATTGTCCAGAAGGATGAAGCGCTTCTCACTGGTTTTCAGGCAAAGTTTGGCGGCAAAAGACGTCCGAGAAGTGGCTTCGATGAGAAGTTATTTCGCAACGGTGACGTGGTGCTCTTGCAAATTTCCGCGGAAAGCCAAAACCAAGGTAGCTTGATGGGAAAACGGGAGTTTTTAGGTGTCATTTTGATCAGTGAGACGGAAAAAGGGCGGAGACAAACATCGTCGACAAAAAAGAATAGCAAGGACAGAGATGAGGAATGTGTAACCGTGCTTTTCCTCAACGACGGCGAGTTGGACAACGCTACCGCAAGTGTACGTTCGTTCGCGACGGAAGTACTGGCGGCGAGTGCGATTACCGACACAGAATGGAAGGTGAGTCCACTCTGCAATTTGGTGACATCTGCGCGCGAGTACATCGCGCTTCGATCCGTAGACATGCTTCCCGAGCATTTAAGGACGGCTATACTGACCCCAGAAGCTTACAAGTCCACTCAGTCGGAGCTCATTACCATCACGTCCGCACTGACTGATTTACGATCAAAGCACTCACGTGACAGCCGGTCGGATATCGTAAAGCTTTTGAAGCGCTTGGACAAGATTGACGTGATGCTGACGGATCTAAGGGTGAGCTTTCGTGTGAATATGGACGTAGCAGCGATCACTAATCACGCATCCATTGTTTACGGTTCAGTCTACCAGTATAGGTAAAGCTGTGAACAGGCTGCGCAAGCACGAGGATGCGGAAGTCAAGGCTCTTTCTGACAAGCTGAAAGAAAAGTGGACGAGTCTCTTGGATGACAATGCCGCGATGGAGCGTGCGCCTCGCTTTCTATCGCCCGCTCTGTGGGAGGCAATTAAGCTGCAGTACAACTCATCCCAGTTGCAGTCTATTCACACGGTGCTAAACAACTACAGCATGGGTGTATCTCTGCTTCAGGGGCCTCCAGGAACAGGTAAGACAAAAACAATAATGGGTCTTCTGGGTGGATTGCTATCGTTGCGGCTACCGGCTACTGCAGTCATGCCAACGATAAGTTCGAGAAGCAGTACAGGCGACGACAGCAAGGGAGAGTTCAGCAATTTTGAGGCTGCACGATCTCGCGGTGTGAGTGCTGCACCGTCCAGTGGACCCACATCGACTCGACCTACAGCGACGCCATTCTCCTTGAGTGGGATTACATCTGCTCTAGGAAGTGTCCTACGTCGTTCCTCCGACTCCTCGGCACCTGGCCCTAGTCGAACAACCATTCAGTCGCTAAAAAATGGTGGCGCATCGCGCAGTCGGTTAGAAACCAAGCTGTCATCTCGTACGACCCATCAGCCGCCACAGTCAAACTTGGTGGTAAAGCGCCGGGTCATATCAAGAGCGATGTCGGAGCATTTGACGGGTCGAACAAACAACATCCTGGTTTGTGCGCCATCCAACGGAGCCGTAAACGAGCTGGTGCTGCGCATCGTTACCGACGGGCTAATGGATAGCTCTGGCAATGTCACGAAAGTCCGAGCACCAAGTGTACACCATGACGCATTGTCAGATGAACGGATTTCTATCATTCGCCTCGGAAATGCAGGCGAAGATGCATCCGAAATTGTCGGTTCTGTATGCTTGCCACATATCATCCGGCGCGAAATGGCCATTCATCCAAAAGCAATGGAATTGAACTTGCTCCAAGAAACACAGCGACAATTGCGAAGTTCGATTCGCGATTTCCACAACAAAACAGACGATCCCGATGGACCCAAGAAAGACCGAAAAGCGCTTGCCATGATGCACAAACAACTGACGGGATGCTCAGGTAAGATCAGGCGCTTGCGGGATGAAGTGACTGCCATTCGGGCGAAAATGACGGAAAGCCTTTTGTCCAAGGCGAGCATTATTGCTTGTACGCTGTCGAAGGCAGGTAGTGGTGATTTCTTGGGACTGAAGCATGGCTTTGACGCCCTCATCATTGATGAAGCGGCCCAGGCAGTCGAGCTAAGCACACTTGTGCCGATTCGAGAGCGCGTAGCTCGGGTTGTGCTAGTAGGCGATCCGAAACAGCTTCCTGCGACAGTGAAGAGCGTTGTCGCGGCGAAGGCACGGTACGACCGGTCGCTGTTCGAAAGGATTGCAGAGAGCGGGGTCGCGCCATCGATGCTTCGTGTGCAATATCGCATGCACCCGTTTTTACGGGAATTTCCGTCCGAGAGGTTTTACGGAGGAATGTTGACAGATGGGCCTAGCGTTATGAAGCGAGTTCAGAAGGTCTGCTCTGGCGTATATGCGCACACGAGCTTTCAGCCTTTCTTGTTGTACGATGTTGAGAATTCGCGGGAGGAAGACATGAACGGGTCAAAGTACAACCGCGTTGAAGCTGCATTTTGTGTCAGTCTGTGCCGCAACATGTTCAGCATCTGCGCGGAGACACGCATCAACAAGTGGAGCGTTGGGTTCGTGTCACCGTACAAGGAACAAGTGCGTGTCCTCAGGCAAGAAATAACGCGCTCAGGGATCCCAGCAAGTGTGTCCGTCGAGGTAAATACGGTGGACGGGTTTCAGGGTCGGGAGAAAGACGTGATTGTGTTTTCATGCGTGCGCTCATCTCGGCGCGGGGGTATCGGTTTCTTGCGCGACGTCCGCCGACTAAACGTGGCAATCACGCGAGCACGCTACTGCCTGTACGTTATTGGAAACGTGAGCACGCTGATGCGCGATGAAACGTGGGCTGCATTGATCAAGAGCGCTCGAGACCGCAAGCTTGTTATTCGCACGGAGGGAGAGGATTTTTCTGCTGTAGTGAAAAGGCTTGCGACGGACAAATACCGTGAGCTGGCTGAACACTACAAGTCCATGCACGTCAAAGTGGCTCCGAAGTCGGTAGCCACCGTGAAACCTGTGAAGACCATTGAGAACAAACCTGCCGAGATCACAAAGTCAAAGCTTTGCTTGGAAGAGGAAGGGAAAACCGTGGATGCAAGTAACACCGATGTGGGCAAGGACGAAGTGCCTAGTAGGTCCACGGACATTGGCGAAGAGGCTAAGGGCTGCAAGCCATCCGAAAGTGATAGACCGTCTTTGACCTCTGCTAGACGAGAACCACGACCGCAGCCTCCATGCGATCAAAACAAAAGTCAGCGTGCGGTTCGACAACCTGTCGACAGCCAGAAAAGGTCTGCCGAGGAGACGTTCGATGTGGCAAGTGCAAAGAAGGCCCGTTCGTCCGTAGAAGCAGTGTCTTCTGCGGCGGACGTGTCTGACCGATACGAAATTCGACGCTTTTGTGATCGGGGTAACTCGTCGCTGACGAATGCACGTCAGGGTCGTGAGCATCGCTTTGATGAGACAGCTGCCGACCAGACCAGAAATGGATGCGCCGACCTTCGGAGAAAGGAAGTCGGGCGTGAAGAGCCCAGCAGGTTGTGCGACTCCCGAGGTTCATTTGATGTCAAGCGAGACAAGAGAAGAGAAGACGTGGTCCGGCCGAGCGACCGGTACCGTCGGGAAAACAGTCGCGACGATGACAGTCGGAATGAGCGCGCTTTGGTGGGATCGAGCCATACGTCTCGACCGCCAGTGGCTGCACGAGGAAGCAAACTACCGCGTTCAATCTCTGAGAAGGAGTTTTGCCAAGTGAATGAGCCCCCTCCTCTCTCAAAGGCGAATCGCTTGCACTCAGCGAGCCCGAAGGCGAGAGATAGACGGCCGCATCACGAGTCTTCTTACCCTGCGACGCACCCCAAGCATCGCAGTCATGTCCAATCATCCCGTGGACATGACCGTTCTGCATCGTCAGGCAAGAGCGACTACCGGAACAAGTCGAGCAGCCACAAAACCCACAGCAGCATTGCACGGACTCCTTCCAGTCGAAGTACAAACGTGCTGGGCAGTATTCTCGGCAGCGCTTCAAAGCTGGCGAACGCCACTTCGCGCGTGAAAGAGAAGACTAATTCGCGCTACTCTGAGGCCCCGTAGCGCCGTCGTGGTGCGTACGTTATCGAACACAAGAAGTCGGAAGGCAGTGGCTGGTGGAGAGAAGCTGTTGGATTTATAGGACTAAGCGCAGCAGTGCAGCGCCCACGGCCATAATCGTACCAGCGAACCCGACCGCGTACTGGAGCATTCGCGTTTCAACCTTCTCCATCGTCAGGCGCAGCTCGTTCAGCGTCTTGTCCTCAGCCTGCTTTTGCAGCAGGAACTTCTTCTCGAGCTCTGCGATCTCCATGCGGATCTTGTCGAAGTCGATCTTCTCGAGCATTCGGATGTCCTGCTTCAGCGTGTTGAAGTCGCGCTCGAGCAGCTCGCGCGAGTGACGCTGTGCAATGTCTGCCACCGGAAACAAGTCAAGAGGCGACCCACCCCGTGGTCGGCGCGATCAAAGACAACCGAGCAACGCACCAAATTTGAGCGTCGAGTTGAACACTCGCTCCGACAGCTCTGCCCTCAGCTGGACATGCTCCGACTTCGTCGCGAGCTATACAAACGCGTGAGTAAAACACACGTGGGAATGGAAAACAAAGTGGCTGACTCACAATGCGGGATTGGGCTTCCAGCGAGTCGGCCATGGCGTCTTTCATCACGCACAGGATCGCCTCTGACTGGTCGTTTGAAAAGCCTGCAGTCGTCGACATGACACCACTCGTGAGCAACAGTCCGGACCTTTTGAAAGACAGCACTGGTCAGACCTTTTTGTTGCAGACTCTTTACGACGTGGTGCGTATCGAAATGCAGCGGCGCGTTGCTGCCATTGCTGGCAAAGCACCGACGACCGAACACTTGATGCAGTGACGCCGATCTGTGGTCCGTCTGTGGGACGAGCGAGGAGCTGTGCAGTTGCAGCGCACGGACGGGACCGTCGACATGTTGGCGGAGCTGTCGGACCCGTGACACGGACGCGCGCATGTCGCACTCACTCTGTTGATGTCGTTGCTGTGGGTCGACGAGGTACAGTGTTTGCGCAAACAACTCGACTGGTCAGCAGAGAGGGTACAGAGCAGACACACGTCGTGACTTGCCGAACATTCGGTCTGCGATGTTCAGACACTCTGCTGAGACTGAGTCGTCGTCACGTGGGACAAAAGCACCGTCTCATTTTGTTTGATTGATTATCACGCATCAAGTAGTGCTCTGTCTTCCGAGCCGAGCGGCGCTACCGCCGCAGCTACCGTCGTGCGATCGAGGCAGCTACTGCGGCAAGACGTGCAGCAGGCTTTGCTCTCGCCCTCGCGTCCGGCTCCTCCTATCCTTGTGTGGCGTAGACACGCTTAGTGGTAGCCGGACACCTCCTGGAAGTGGCCACCAGGGTTGAACTTGAGGAGAAAGTTGGGCGCTTCTTTCTCCAGCTTTGTCGGTTCCACATCGAGCTCCCGCAGGCCGGGCAGGTCCGAAGTCTTGACCTCGTTCAGGCTGAGGCGCGTAGCCCAGTCGCGCGTGAATTTGGGGTCTGGAAACTGCTCGCAGAAGTAGCCGATGGCCTGGGCCACGGGAAGCGGCAGATTGACCAGCGTTGGGTTGCGCTTCGTCACGTCAAACAGGTAGTCGGCCAATTCCTTGTACGAGAACTCCTCGTCGCCCACGAGCTCAAACGTCTCGCCCTGGATCGTCGCGTCCTGCGTGATGTGGTATATGGCCTTGGCCACGTCGTTCACAAACACCGGCTGGATCACGGCATCGCCATTGTCCACGACGGGCACGCCACCATAGTTCAGGCGGTTCCCCATCCACACGAGCAGTCGGTCTTCCGGACCAAACATGTTGGACGGCCGCACGATCGTCGCTCCGGGAAAGGCCTTGCGAACAGCCACTTCGCCACGGAACTTGGACGCAGCCCACTCGGACGGTGAGTTGGGCTGGGCCAGCAGCGACGAGACGTGCACGAAACGGGGCACACCGGCTTCTTTGGCCACTTCGGCGATCGTGCGGGCCACGTCCACGTGCACGTCGTCGTACGTGTAATTGATCCACCACGGCAGCATGTGCTTCGTCTGGTAGTGTTTGCCCACGAGGTTAATGACAATGTCCGAGCCCCGGACGGCTTCGAGGATCGAGTCCCGGTCCCGTGGATGGAACGGCTGCTGCGCCACGTTGCCCAAGTCGGCCGACACGCGCAAGTGCGCGACTTCGGTCTCGTCTCCGCGGTACGGCACGACGTACCCATTTCCGTGCATACCTGCGCAGCGCATGTATCCATGTGTCCTCCATCCATCCACGTGGGACAGTTCCATACAAAAAACAAGTCAGTCGGTTGTTCCGTGTGCGTCAGGCACTGAACGGGACATGGTCGTTGCACGCACCGAGGAGCGCACAGACGTAGCGGCCGAGCGAGCCCGAGGCGCCAAAGACAGTCGCGGTGATGCCGTCGCCACGGGCGCGTCCCACGGGGTGGCGCAGCGCCGCCTTTGCCACAGGGGAGAGCGCGGACATGGTTCAGTGATCGACTTGTGGGCGGTCCACGACGAGCTGCAGCGCGTTTGTTCATGCACGTGGCCCACACAATGCGCAGCAAACCACACAATGCGCAGTGGACCACACACACCCTACGCAGTGGGCCACATGATACACAGTGGACCACACTATGTTAGGACGCACGACTTGAGTAGGATAGGTACGTCTTTTGTTCGCAGCACGGGCGCAAGTGGCCCGTCTCTCTCCCTACTGTCCAGCCCTCGATGGTCACTGCTGAAGTAACTGTAGCAGCGCAGCCGCAGCGACGCCACTGCCCGGTCAGGTCAGTCGCTGGACGTGAGTGCGCATGCGACTGCCCCTGGACCTGAAGCTCGTGGGCAAGAAGGAGCAGTCGTACGCGTCGCTCGACGTCTCCGACACGCACCCGCGACACGGCAGCGCCCACCTCCTGCACGCCGCTCCGCTCTCTCCGTCGGCCGTCTCGACAATGTCCCTCAGCTCCGACGACAGCGCCCACACGCCGTTCCACAGTGAGGGGCGACGCGACGCGACACTCATTGGCGGGAACAGTGGGCCGCCGCTCCACCGCACTGTCGCGAACGACGTGTTGGCCGCACTGGACGGACCGATTCGGCAACTGGCGTTCGAGACCAAAGGCGCTTTGCTCGCGACGGGGTCCGTGGGGCGCTGGCGCGTGGAACACGCGACGGAACACGTGCACTGGCTGACTGACTGGCTGACTGTCTGTGGTGTGTGGGATACTGTGGGGTTATTCGTGCTGTAGACTCGCCGCGACGCTGTACCTGCTGACGTGGTTCCAAGCAGTGCTGGTCCCCTTCTTCCTTGCCGTGTTCCTCATGTGCGTCAGCTGGAGACGGGAGCTGCTGGAAAGTGTCGTCCACTACTGAGCTCTTGTGGATCTGTTTTGTGCGTGTGTGTGGGTGGGTGTGTGTGTGTGTGGTGGGTGCGTAGGTACCTCGTGGATCCGCTGGTGGAAATGATTGACGTTTCGCCCAAGTACTTCCTCTGCATCTGTACATCCCGTGGGCGCCACGCCCGACGGAAATCCCGAGGCTGCTCGCGTGCGCTCGCGTCGCTCGTTGCTGTCAGTGTCGTGTGTGTGTTCTTTGGACTGCTGGGCTACATTACTGTGCTATCGGTCCATGCACTGGACACAAGCGCTTATCAGACGGGGTACAACCATCTCGTCTCACAAGTCGAGCACATTCTGGAGCGACTGGGACTACCTGTAAACATCACGACCACGCTGCACGACAATGTTGACAAGCTTGCGCGTGTGGTGGTCACTGAAACGATGGACCTGCTCTCCGTTATGTTCGTGACGCTGATCTACCTCACGTATTTCCTCTGTACCCGAACACGTGCTAGTGATGCTGGAGGTGTCTGGTCGAAGATTGACCACGACATTCAGCGATTTGTGACGCTGAAGTGTTTTCTCTCGCTCTTCGTAGCCTTGCTGGTTACGATTGTCTACGTGTGGCTGAACGTGGGCCTGGCGATCGTGTGGGGTATGCTGACGTTCATTTTGAACTGGATCCCTAACGTGGGAGCTATGATTGCGTCCGTTGTTCCAGTTTGTATCATTGTTATCACGCCGTCCGAAGTGATGAACCACATGGAAAAGTTCATGGCCGTGTTCCTTCCAATGTGTTTCCACATGTTCGTCGGCAACTTTGTAGAACCAAAAGTGTTTGGCCGGAAACTCGAGATCGACCCTGTGATTGTCATTTTGTCTCTTTCGGCTTGGGGTCTTCTCTGGGGAGTCGTGGGCATGATGCTATCTGTGCCGCTTACTGCCGCCGCTAAGATCATGCTGAGTCATCTCAAGCTGTGGCCCGAGTTTGTTGCTTTAGTGGAAGGGACGTACTTCACACGGTTTGGCAACAAGACTGCCCGGTATCGGAAACACGAAGAGAACGACAAGGAGGATTTCGAGACCATGCAGGTCCGGACTGAGAGTGAACAGGATCGTGCAAGTAGTGGCCACATGCGAATATAAACACGGATTTGAACAGGTAGTAGCATTCGTTTTTTATGTTTCTTTCGTTGTGCCTACGTGTCAGACGCGCGTAGCTTCAACAAGTGCTGGAAGCTCGCTGTTTATGTCTGTGTCTACACGCTGGCAAGCTGCAGCTCTTGGAGTCGTACGCGTTTACTGGTGTCTATGCTGCACACTGTACGGTCGACGGACGACGTCAAGATATGCAACAGACGCCTTGTCATCAAATAGCTGACAGCTGGACATGGTGCAACAAAGCACCTTCCGATCAGTTGTTGTCTTTTACTGGTCGTGACTTCGGTAAATGGTCGGACTGGGCGTCTGCAGACCTCGCTTCATGGTCGCTCAGTTGCAAGCTCGTGAAACATGGCCACAATGGGCAAAACAGCCATGAAAATCGAGATTGCTGCCATTTTTTGGCTCGTTGTAGCATCTCGTGTGCGTATCGTCGTTGATGTGTTGTATCGGAAAGGAACGCTGCATGAACCACAGGCCGAAAGTAGATCGGGTGCTGTGTTCGTTGCGCACATCAAGTCGAACTGTGCGGGGAACTCGGCAAGTAGCCCAGACGCCTTCTCGGTTTCCACATAGCAAGGTGCAGGCACCACGTCGGACGTCGTTCTTTTCGGTCTTGGCGAACCTTTCTGCGACAGGTGCTGCATTTCGATCGGTCCACCGGCTTTTCGCGTCCTCTCCAGTCTTTTGAACCCCTGTTGAAAGCGCGTCTTCGGTCATTTATTGACCCATTCCTCTCATTCTGTCTGCCTCGATCCAGAAGCGCCATCACCGACATGGCTTCCGGACACGCAGATGTTTGAGCTTAGCTTCCAGTTCCTACTCGACCTCCGCCTCGGGAAACTCCTTTGATTAATTGTTGTTGCGCTGCATCTCCGAAGCAGTTGGAGAGACAGCGGACTCAGCAAACAGCCAAGTGCAGTCGAAGCAATTGCTGAGTGGCGGTAGTCGAGGCCACGATCGAAGCCGTTGCCAATCAGCACATACTCGTGAGACGGTCAACTCTGTTGACAGTGCTGAGCTCCGCCCACTCGTCACAACCGATCGCACTTTCAAACGGTAGCGGCCGTAGCGCCAGTCACATGCCAAAACGATATTCGCCTCCACCACTGGGTCGACGCCGTCGTGTGGGGTGACAGAAGCTATGCCGTAGCATGGCCAAACACCACGTCATCCGTGTTACATGGATGTGTGACGGTGGACTGCAGTAGAACAGGAGACACTGTCAACATCACCTGCGGGACCACAGCTTGAGCAACGCTCAGGATACAAAAATGACACGGGGGACATGTCTCATTTCCACGTGCCACGTCTTTTTCTTCCAGTGCCTCTTGAGGGTAAAGTCTCTTTCTAGCAGCCGTTCGATTGGGCATACGCATGTTTACAACAACAATTCTCCTATGCGTTTGAACCTCTGCGACGCTGTTCAAGTCCATGTCCACTGAAGCGATACTTTATCGAAAAAAAAAGCGTCGGAACAGCTGCGACGAGTGGTCCGAGTAGCCCGTCTCTTTACAACGCACCTCCGTCCAAGAGGGCCGCAATGACGAGCACGCCTTACTGCACCCAGCTGCCATGTGATGGTACGAGACTTCCACATCGTCATGCCCACAACGTTTGTTTGCACTGTACAAAACCGTCGCAAGTTGCACTCGGCGGAATGAACCACACAAAACAGCACTGAACGTATTTTGTAACGGCAAATCTGTCACGGGCGTGTTCGTTCTGGCGGTAGCGACACAGTTGCTACAAAAGGGTCTGTCTGTCTGGCTGGCTGTCTGTCTGTCTGTCTGTCGCAATGGCCTCGACGAGCGTGCGAAATGCCAAGCAGAAGGCACACAGCGCAGCGCAGTTTTTGTGACGGGACTATAAATACCGACAGTCTTATCAGATACTCGACAGCGCTGCCGTCTCCCTCTGGACACAGCGCTTTCATAATCACCAATCAGGTCGCCCCGACGACTCGCGACGTCTCTCTTCCGTCGCCCACACACACAGACACAGACAGACACAGACACCTCACTGGCCGCGAGTCCCTCTGCCCCTCCGCGTCCCCTCCCCGTTGTCTTCTGCTGCTGCAATGGGCGACCTCACGTCGGGCGATTACTATGAGAATCTCGGCGTCTCCCGCACGGCATCCGCTCAGGAGATCAAAACAGCGTACGCTGTGTGTGTGCGCTATTGGCAGTTTGGACCACAGCTGTTGCGCGGCGACTGCGACTGACGCGAAGGGCTCTGTGACTGTTGTGCCTCAGGTACCGCAAGTTGGCGATCAAGTACCACCCGGACAAGAACCCGCTGGACAAGCCGTCGGCCGAAGCCAACTTTAAGATTGTCGGCGAGGCGTACAATGTGCTGTCGGAAGAGAACACGCGCAAGATCTGTACGGGCCGTTGGTTTGCGCCGCTTGTCGTTCAGCTGGCTACGAGGAGGTGCACAAGGGATGCCGTCTCGAGTGTCGGACTGACTGGTTGGGCTACTGGGGGCTGCACTCTCTGTGTGCTGTGCTGTGTGTGTGTGTGTGTGTGTGTGTGCGTTGCTGGTGCAGATGACATTTACGGCAAGGAAGGACTCGAGGACGGCGCGCAACCGATGACGAGGGAACGCGCGATGGAGATTTTCGAGGAGTTTTTCCGTTTCGGGAAAGCCATGGACCCGGAAGCCCCCGACCGCTCGAAAGGGCTGAAGCGCGCCGCGGGTGGCGCAGTGTATGCGCCTGCTAAGGGTCTGCTGTACGGTGGCAGGTCTATCGTCGGCGGTGTAATCATGGGGTCTGCTGCAATTGTGGTAGGCACTGGCGCAATGTTTGTCAACGTGGCTTCGGGTATAAAAGAGATGGGCGAGGCTGGCGTCTATGCCGTACGCAAGCACAAAGACAGCCGACACGCGAGCGACAGTGAAACAGAAGTGCCTGGTGCTGCAGTAGGGACTGGACCAACCGGTACTGGCACTGAAGATGAACAGAGGATAGTACTTGATGTCGCGAATCAGAAGCCGACGCCAACATTCATGGGAGGATTGAAAAAGGCGACGATTGGCGCCGTGGCAGCTCCCGTTGCGGTACGTGTCCTTTGCTTACCTTTGCTGTGCTCCGAGTTGCTGAAGTATCACTTTCTTGTGGTTTTGCAGGCGATCGTCACAGGAAGTGGTGTGCTACTGGCTAGTGGTGTCGCGGCCGGAGGCTACGTGGTCGGTGGGTTTGCTGGTGCCGCGACCAACGTTGCAAGTGGAGTGCGGGAAGTAAAAGCAGCAAACAAGTTGGACAAGAAGCGCCGTGCCTCGAGTGCCGCAAGTACTCGCGATTCTTCAGCTTCGACAAAGAGCTCGCCGGCGGCGTCAAACGTCTCGACAAAAGTGGGTCCCGTAGCAGACGATATGGCCGCAGCATCATAGTAGCCCAGACCGCTTGGGGACAGTTCGACACACGCTTTTTGTGGAGTGCAGCAGACCGTGACTCGTCGTGTGTAGTTAGATCATACTTTCATATCACAATAACCCATGATCTACATGTAGTCTACTACTGTATCCCTCCAGCAAACGGACTCGCCTCTTCGCTTTGGGTAGAGTGAACCAAGCCCGGACCTCCAATGGAACTAGTAAAGCACTCGAACCCATGTGCTTCCAACTGCGCAACAAGCTTCGCCAAGTCGTCGTTGCTCAGACTTTGCGGCAAGAGGGAAATCGCACAACCACCGCCACCTGCGCCCGTCAGCTTCGTAGCGCCGTTGAACTGCTTGCAAATGCGCGCGACTGCGTCGATCTGCGGATGGCTTACTCCCAAATCGCTCAGCACTTTCTGATTCTGTTCAATTGCTTGGCCAAGGACTTCCTCGGACAGCACCTTGCGCGTGCTGAGTGCAACAAATGTTTCCACAAGCTGCTGAATCGTGTCGAATTGCGTCTGCACGCTCTCGCGGTCAGCTTCGTATCGTTCTCTGACGTAATCAACTTGCACCCTCGTAGATCGTGGAACGCGAGTATTCACAATGATGAACCGGAACTTGTCCAGCTCGCACGAAATGCGACGAAACGATGGTCCCGAGCGCTTTTGGAAGACCAGCGTTCCACCAAAGCACGACACCGTATTGTCTGCACCCGACGGTGAGCCATGGAGGATCACTTCAGCTCCATAGGCATACGCATTGATGAATTCCAGCTCGTGCCTACGAGAGCTGCCCGAGAGCTCTGCAAACGCTCCCGAAAGCGCTACAGCCAGCGCAGCCGAAGAGCCTAGTCCTGCACCGACAGGCAAATTGCGCGCAGCCATCTCTACACAGAGTCCACCTTGCTTACTACCACCATTGACAATGTTCAGTCGCCACAAAAAAGCATTTCGTCAGTACACTTCATACTCGACATGCAGCGTCCAACCAACAGCTTGTACCCGCTGAATAGACCTGACGAACGAAGCAGCGCGCAGCACAAGAAAAGCGGCACCCGCATCGCCGAAGCGTCTTCACGTGTCTCGCCTTCCAGCGCGTTCTCAAGACGCGTCATCACCGCTTGCGCCGGAATGGGCACGTAGTGGCTCTCGTCGTCGAGTCCTTCCACCACCTTTTGCAGCTCGGACGTCCTGTACGCGCGTCGCAGCGGCTGCTGATCACGTGACGACGTAACGTCGTTGCACGCGAACTCGACTGTCGGCGATACGTCTACAGAAGGCACGTGGACGCGCGTCTACGGAGCAAAAGGACGTGAGCAGACCATCAGTTCCGTTGACACAGATACACATCCACACAGCCACAGCTACATCCACACACGTCCGCACGAGATTCTGGACGCACACGTACAATCATCACGTGGACGCGCAGATCAGATAATGCAGCGGCCACTGCGGGACAGCCGTAGACGACGGCGTGCTCGCCGAACAGCAAGAGCTTCCCAGGCGCCGAGACGTGCACAACGTCAGCCATGTCATGCGGTCGAGTGGTACACGGTACCCTCGCGTGCTCAGCTGTGCTTGTTTGTTGTTGTTTTGGACGGGAGCAAAAAGTGCTTTGTACCGCTGGCGTTATTGACAAGTGGGGAGCGGCGGGGCGACATCGTTTGTTGACGTGAGTGGCGGCACGAGCGCAAACGCACACTTGTTGTGCGGTGTGTGTGTGGGTGGTATCATCTATCAGAGGGTGATGTATGGTGTGCAGAGTGGACTGAAAAGACATACTCGAGAGCAGAGCAGGTGGACACAAAAGTGACAACAGATGCCGCGCTTTTGGATCGCTGAAGTTGCACAGGCGGAGCGCTGTGGATTTGCATGGAAGACAGTAGATGGGGCAACAGAAGAGAGAGATGTCATGACGATCTAGTAACATTTTACTATGTACAAGATATCTGAAAGCTCCTGAGCCAGGAAAGCATACCGGATCCGGTAGTGTTTCGTGACAATCATCCGTAGTCTCCGAGAAAACCCGGAATTCTATGGTAAAGAGATCAAGCCCAGCGTGCAATAACGCCCCTTGCACGATTGTGTCCACCCCTCCATGTTCGCGTTTCGCCAACGCCGTGAGCTGCCGGATCCCGGCTTCCCAATAGCGTGAGATGCTTTGCGAAACCGAAGTTTGCTCCCCCTTGAATACGGCGTCATTCCGCTCGATCCATAAGTGAGTCAGACAGATGCTGCTCACCAAAAACCGAATCCTATTCCAGACGTCGACCCGGCGTCTGCGTCATCCTGAAATCGTTCCGTTAGCCGGAACCGCTGACTGACGGGGATCGAAGGAGCCTGACGGTTCACGCTCCCGAGAAAGCACCGGGCATCTAACAGATGCTCAACGATTTCCCCTGACCAGTGACCGATGAGTTTGCCCCAACAAGCACGTGCTTTTGGGCATTCCCAAAATATACGAGCCGCAGTTTCTTCAACCCCGTGACACCGCAGATCCGCCCGACAGCTATTGTCCAGGTGACGATGCTCATGATAAATGTCAAGTTGCTTGGTAGCGACTCGATAGCAAGTCCTGACCTGATATTCAGTGAGACCATGGGCGTGATTCCAAACTTAGTACGGGCGCTGATGCGCCGCGGCCCGTTGCCACGGATCGGTACTGAGGGCCGTACCCAATCGCTCGATCAACGGTTTCAACGCTCCTGCAAGTTGGCGTTTGTGAAGCCTGAACGCTAAATGAGAAACCGTCCATCGAATTGAACCGTTCGCGACGGTGTCGACGACCGCCCACGGAAACCGGTGGTGTCTGGGATGCGCGTAAAACACCACGCCGTGTCGTCGGAGGTGGTGAATTCCAGCTGAATGTTCTGCCGCCAAATCCGCAGCCAACTCCGGAAGGTCGGTAATGAAAACCTAGCTAAACCCATCGTCACCTTGGCGAAGGCGGATCTTTTCGCCGACTGGGCCGAGGGAACCACTCCTCTCGCCAACAATATGGCCCCTGCTCTCCGTGGCCAGTCGTACCGAAACTGAAGCCGAGGCGCATGGCGAAGCCTCAATGGAGGGTCTAGCGCGAGTTTAGTCCGGACATGAAATGGAGGAGATGCCAGTAGTATCGCCGTGACCCAACGCCGTAATTAGGACTGCGAGTGGGATGTAGAGTACCGTTCCGCAAGTGGGATGCGAATCAAGAACTCTTCCGGGCCTGTCCGTCGAATACGCAAGGTCGATATGGGGCAGGCTACGATCCGGTCATATGTGGAACGCAGTAGCTTCTTGCCCTGGTCATCTCGTATATGTGGATTACCACACCAGGCCAGCGTCCCCCAGAATTGGCAAAGCGCGGTCAATTGAGGGTCATGGGATGCAAATGCTTCGGGAAAACAGGCGCAAAAGATAAAACCCAATACCCCGTCCCACCAGCTATTCGCGCCAGTCAGCAATGTCGGAGCGTGCGTACGTACTCGATCCCGTAAGCAGTCAGAATGCTCGGCCGTAGGCTGAAGGAGTAGGTCTAGGTCCCGCACAAAGGAATTCTTGGATGGCTTGACCAAACTGGTTGCCTACCCTCCAGGCCGAGGCCTTTCATGCAGGACCAAACCAGAAGGTGTCGGCATACCCCGATAAGCCCAGAAGCGCCACGAGTCAAAATACTTGTCGTGGTATTGGGTAAGCCACCGTAGAGAGTGTTGACTTCGCTGCGTCTTAATGGCGACCTCAACCGAAACCAGCCCTACGCCCCCAGCTTTCTTGGGCGTGCAGAGTAGGCCCAAGTTAATCTTGTGTCGACCCGCCTCCGTTGTCGTAGCATGCGCCCATAGAAATTGTTTGTACAAATTTCTCACGTCCTGGCCCGCCCACTCCGGGATGTCGAAAACTGCCGCCGTGAATAGGATGGACGGAAGAATGACAGAGTTGAGAATCAGAACCCGATTTTCCGCACTTGTCGCAATCGTCGAAGCCGTGAACAACGGCCGTTGTAGCTTCCGGATCCGAAGCGCCCAATTGCGATGCTGCAAGTCGCCTGGCCCAACCTCATAGCCCAAGTACCGTACGGTGTCCTTAGGCTGAAGGACCGGTACGCCCCGGAAATCCAGCATCCTCAATCCCGTGTTCAGAAAAATTAGCTTGCTCTTGGCCGGCTGAACGACTGGACCGGACAGGACAGGACACTGAAACGTGAAACAAGCCCCAGCGCCATATCGAGCTGACCCGCTTTCTCTAAAATATCGTCGAATCGTCGACAAACGTTGAAAACATGTGCTTTGTCCCCACTACCCCTGGGACTAAAAGGCCACACAAGGTGGGCAATTGCTGGAGTGCAACGCCTACGAACTCCACGACGAGGAAGAAAAGCAGTGGGGATAGCGGACACCCTGATGGGTCAACAGACGAGGCAGATGACTTGTTTGGTACATATAGTGACAACAACGTGGGCCAGAAGAGGTGCAACTGCCAACAGAAGCGGCAGCTGAACAGAAGCAATGACACGCAGGAAACAAGAGCGTGGATGGCGGTGGAAGACGATCGAGACCCAGTCATCCAGCGGGACTAGAAGTGCAGTTAGCGCAATTACTTTCGTTTTAGCGCCTGCTCCCGAATTTATCGAGGTCATGGCGTCGATGCCGAGGCTGTGTGAGGTGGAGTAGGGGACAGGATCCGCCACTCGCAAAATTGCGTCAACTGACCCGTTGAAGTCGTGACGCAGCTGTATCTGCTGTGCGAGCGAAAAGCTGCAGCTCATTTCAGCAAGAGAAGTTGAATCGTTAAGTCGTAGCGTCGACATGCTGCTTCAGGATGCAATCGGAGATACGCGCAAACAAAAGAAGGCGCGATGGAGGGACGATGGATGCGACTACGTTGTTTTGTCGCGGGACTAAACTCGGTATGGAGGTCCAGGACATGAAGCAAATGGTGGACGAGCACGGATGGGGTGTAATGAAGCTGCGTCACTGGGACATCCATTAGTTTTGCCTGAAGAGGTAGACGACCATGTGACTAGCATGTCATCACTCAGACCGTCGCTCTTTGTGAAAAGCATCCACGAAAGTAAGTGTGTTGTGGGCGCGAAAAGCGCTGGCAGTCTACTGAGAAATACTGTACATCGCGTGATTCGCACGTGAAAAGCTCAACTAAATTGCAGATGACTCGACCTGTAAGCAGTGACATCAGCAGTCACGTTGAGTATCTTCGTCATGTCGTCGACGCTTTCTGTAACGGGGTTACACATCGACTGGCAGTCGACAATAGTTGTGATGCACACAAGGGATGGGATCTTCTTTTAAAGTAATATTAGAACACGGTATTAATTGTTGAAGACTGATGTCTGTCAACCATTACGAGATCTTTTGAGAAGTTTTATTTAGTACATTAGCGAGTAGGTCAATTACGTTGTTCTAAGGTGTTCTTTCAGGTTAAACGAAGAAATAAAGTTCAGTTCCCATTTTGATCTGAAATACACGCGCCTCTCTGAGGCGTCTTGCCATCGTCCAAGGTGTTTAGCAACGCCTTGTTAAGGCAGCTACTCCTAGTGCACTCTGTGCTGTGATTCTCTGAATCGTTTGGTCCCCCTGGAACAGGGGGCGTAAGCTCTCTGAGCTTGTTGACTCTTTGAGTCGGGTTCTCTGAACCAAGCCTTAAGCTCTCTGAGCTGTTTGATTCTCTGAGTCAAGTTCATTGAACCTTAAGTTGCTGGTTGAGCGATAAAGTCTTTCTCTGACTTAAGCAGCTGTGTGGCTCCGCTACACCTGGCAGCACTTGTAGTAAATTTACACCTGAGTCGGTAACGACTGATCCTCTGCGAGGATGAAGCGATCCACACCTCTTACGGAGGCCCAGAAGGTCACGCTTAATAAGCTAACCGCGGCCGTAGACCCTGAATATGTGGAGTTTCTAGCTGCACAAGGTCCCGATGCGCTCAATTTACGAGTCGAGACCTTCATGCAGTATGAAACGGCCCTGTTAGGGCAGGTTCAAAACCAAGTAGCATCGGCTATGCGAACACACTACGTGGAAATGCCACCAGATGAGGCTAAGCCTCGTCCCCTTTAAGTGAACGTTAAACATTACTCCGGGAAGGAGGGGGGAAACTTGACCCTCTGGATTCGTGAGATTGAGATGACCATGAGTCTGGCCTTATCTCACTTGAGCACCAGCGGGTCTTGCTGGCTATTTCTAAGCTCGATGGAACAGCACGAGAGTGGACTCTGACGTGCAACACGTATGTTGTCTCGGATTTTCCCACATGGGATTTGCTCAAGTTAGACCTTTTGCGAGTTTTCTAGCCGCCTAACCAGGCTTATCGCGTGCGCTCACGCTTCTTGTCTACCCATCAGGATAAGAATGAGTTAACGGACTATGCCCAAGATCTGAGAACTCTTATGGCTGCTATACAGTCTGACCCTCTCCCTGAGACAGTCTGTGTGACCGTCTCATGAAAGGTCTTCGCACTGGCGTGGCCAGGACCAAAGTGTTTCGGTTCCGTCCATCTACTTTTGAGGAAGCTGTTAGCATCGCTCAAAATGCTGA